CTTGCGGTGTTGCTTGTTGGGATTCTTGTTTGAGTTAGCTGATTTTCCATATTTTCATTTTGGTTCCTGCGTTTTCGTATTTCTTTGTATACTGTGCAACCCTTGTAATTGGCTGGGTGATGGCCACTGCCTAATGCGCATGTGGCTGGAAGTTCCCTGCTTTTGGAGCAGTTGGTGGTATCGTCATCTCCTGAGCATTTGACGCATCTGTGAAGCCTGTTGCATAATCCTTTTGTGTGACCATATCGCTGGCATCGAATGCATTGTATTATTTGATTAGTTTTCCTTGATGGCTCTATAGTAACGGAGGCTCCTACTAGATTTGTTATTTTGTAGATCTCTTGATTGTTTCCCATCGGGTCCAAGTCTACAAAGAATAGAGGCATTCCTTTCTTCGTGGTTTTGTTTATTGCATTAATTAAATTTCTGACAATATGTCCGTGTTGCTCAATGTTATTTTTTAGCTCTTTAATAGATGTTGTGGGATGTAAATTCCTGATAACTATACGATACTTCTTCTTCTTGCTTTAATTGGTATGTATGAAAAGAGGATTTAGTATAATTTAGGTAGTGAATTATTTTCCTATAAGTATCGATTGACAATGAGTTTAGTTTAATTTGGTTATTGCTTATGGTTTTGTAGGTCAAGTCTTAGAGATTTAACGCTCCTAAATCGTTGAGAAAGACATTTATGTTCGTTATGTCCGGGATAAAGATAGGTGGTGGTTTGTGCTTTTGTGGTGTTTCTTCATCTGGTTGGGTTGACAGTGGCTGGAAGCGATTTGCTTGTTCGATTGTAAATGAGGAATTTCTTCTGTCTTCTGTTGGACTATCGGATTGTCTAAGGCGTTTTTTAGGCTGTACTATTTGCCATTCATTTGCACTGTTTTGGCTTCGAGTGATAATTTTTGGAGGGATTGTTTTGGGGTATGGGTCTGTTTCAATTCCTCCTCCTTTCAAGAGAGAATTACCTAACGTCTCTTCGTTACTCATGATTTACTTTAAACCAACGGTATTATCTACCGTGGTTTTTTCGTTTGGTTTTACTCAATTTTTCAAATTTTAACTGTTGTAAATTGGCTAAATTCTTGGAATATTTCTAKAGAAACGTAGTTTTGTATGAATGTTTGGTAAAAAATATGATAAAGAATTCACTGCTCTCGCTCACACGTCTGTTCAGTACGACTAGCTAAACGCGACTAGTCAACAATATGGGACTAAAAGTTCTACATCTACATCGCAACCAGGGACAAACTAATGCCAAACTTACCGAAAGCTGAAACATTAAATGTTGAAAAAATCAATAAATAAATAGAAAGACTATGAAGGCTTTCACGGCCGGTCAGATTACATTTAGGAATGTTTTCCGGGCTTTTAAGCCGTGGTCTATCGGAATTCCTTCCTGACGTTTCGTCCACATCTGCGGTGGACATTTTCAAAGGCGATGAGGCAGTGGGCGAAGTGATCTCCCGTGCTTTCCGACTAAGAAGAACTCATTCTTAGTCGGAAAGCACGGGAGATCACTTCTCTGGATTTCGATAATAAAAAGTGACTTCTGTTGTAGATTATCCCCTTAATAACACTTTTTACTTAGCGACATTTCTTCTTTTCATTCCGAAAATGTTCTTTTCAACGACCTTCCGACTTTGAAAAGTTCATTCTCCCCTGATTGAGTGGAAATAGTTTCAATTTTTGAGCCCTTTGAGCTCAATATTTTGGGTAAAGAGCATAATTTATGAATGCTTCTTTGGTCGCAGCATTACCAGCTACGGAATACGTAACTTGATATTGGCAAGATTTTTTCCATTGGTCTTTTGGTCTATTTTCCTGAAATTTTCAACTTTTGAAGGTTGATATGTTGGATAAAGTCTACTCAAATGGCCGATCCATGTAGTTAAGAAAATGCCTAAATTGCAGATCCATATTCAACCCAGCTCATGATTTGTCATTGCTTTCTTCTGCTCGCAGCGTTAAAGCGACGGAAAAGTGAACTTTATTACTGTGGTAGTCTCCATCCAAGAATACAATGTCTGGAGCAAAATACCTACAGTAAAATGTAAAGCAACACAATTTGCTTGAATTCTTCTGGACTGTGTGATGCTAATGTGCTTACAAAGTTGGTTAAAAGTAAGCCTCACCTGAAAATGGTCTTTCAGTTCCCTTTTCTTGCGTCACGTGATACTGCACAGGTGTCAACTTTTTTCTCAATTCCTCTTTGTCCACAGTCACGACTGTGACTGTGGTCAACACTTTTTCACTCATTTTTTTTACGTTTGGTAAATACCCTGGAATCAGTACTCAGGTTATAAGTATCTGATAAGTTAGTTTAAGTGTATGACTTCTCACTCGAAGAATTATGCGCCTGGGACCCAGCGACCGCTTAAGACATTTTGCTTCCAAGAAATGAGCAAAAACGAGACGGAAAACATGAAATTTTATAATATTCTTGCACCTGAGTGTCTAATTTTCAAATTTTGCTTTCTGGGTCAAAACTAATCAACTCACAAAACTCAAATTATTCTTGAGAAACTTCCAAAACACCAACGTCATGTTTAGGTCGATTTTGCAACTCAAAGAAAAAACCAGCAAATCTAAAACTTCTTAAAATCAAGACTTTATTGAGAAAACTACCAACATTTCCGTATCGATTGTTCACTTTCTAAAAAGCCCATTTAGTTCTCTATGGAATAATGTTAAAATGACCGTTCTTGCTCATTCTGGTTCCAAGAAATGAGCAAAAAACGGGACGAAAAACATGAAATTTTAGCATCATTTTGCACCTAAGTGTCGAATATTCAAATTTCGCTTCCTGGGTCAAAACTACTCGAATTTCCTCACTCACATTGTTATAACTGAATCGAATTTTCAATTCTCTATCCAACGATGTCAAAACGAATTCTGTGTCTCAAACGGGGCTTGAGGAACTTGAAAAAAGATTATTACTGCAAAAGAAAAAAATTGAGACAATTACCAGACACACAAAACCTTCTAAAAGACCAGAGAGTTTCATTTAGAATCCATATTTTCTCCAACTTGTATTGAAATTTAAAAACTTTTCTCAATTTTACAATAAATCATAACTTCATAACAAAAGGCGTTAGACAATTGCGCTTTGCCCTGCTTTTGAGAGTCAAAAGTAATAAAAATTAATGAATTAGTACAATTAAATTGATGAACAATTAAAATGATTGAAAAAGATGAACCGTTTTTTTCAGGCATAATCAATGCGAAACGTGTCTTCTTTCAATTGACATGAGCACCTAATCAGCATGAAGTAGATGGGTTCAAATTCCCATTCCACAATCCGCTTAACATAAATTGATACACAGAAAAAAATTGATAATTGTGTCGTACGTACGTGTTCATATTAATAATACATGTCCGTTTACATGCTCTGAATCGAAATATTCAAGCACGCAGACATGCAAAACAGACACGAAGGAAATTCGATTAATTGCGACCTTTCAAGCAGTCGAAATGGGCTCTGATAATGTTAAATCTAGATAGTAGACGGGCCAATTCACCTTCCGGCCTTATTTGGGTAATTAACTGCTAATTAATGAACACCCAGTAATTGAAAGTGGGTGAAAACATTTGGCCGAGATCCAGAAAACACTCTGTACAAGTACTTATATAGGAAATGTCCAGAAAGATTAAAACGAAAACAATTGTGGCTAAAGATGTACCAAACATCAACAACTGACCACTTTGGGTCAAAGATGTTTAATTTATTTTTGGCAATCACTGCTGTTTATTTGGGGATATATGATTAACAATATATACGCTATCTAGAAAACCTGTCGATGGTCACGTGAAAATTCTTATAAGTAACTAAGAGCCGGAGCAAAGGCCGATTTCTTAGGCTTGAAAAGAATGTTGCCAGTCGCCATTGTCAGCCACTTGCTCTATGTTTGGATGGATTTTGCCAGGTACAGAATGAAATTTGAAGATGCTCAACTCAAATTTGGCGCAATAGCAGGCTTTGAGTCCTGCTAGAAGCTCAGTGAGGGAGGTCGAAATTAGAGGAGCGCTTCGCCCCTTACTGAAACTCTGAAATTGAGCATGGTAAAGTTTAAAAAATCGCACCTTTCTGAATGTTTGGACGGATTTTTGATGGTTCAAAATATGACTTCTCAACTACGGATGACTGTTTTAGAATAAGAAAGTGGTGGTAAGAACAATTTTGGTTTCATGAAGATGCAGAAGCTGAAAACCCTCCAAATGTGTTGAACGAGTCAAAATTTCCAACTAGTGCTAAAAAGAACAGAAAGGCGAAGAATTTGCTCTTTAAAAATCAATCAAAAAACCGATTTGCAATGTTGCAAAGCGTGCAAAATTCTCCTGAGTAAAATCGCTATATCCAAATCCGATTTGAAACTGAGGCAAAAAAGGATTTAGGATTTTTATCCTAAATTTTATTAATAAAAAATGTGGGCTCAGTGGAACTGCGAACGTTCGGGACAGTTCGCCAGCGTTTGTCGCAATTCGCGAGCATTCAATTGCGCAACCTGAATTATTTCAAGCCCTTTTCAAATTTCTTCACTCAAGCTCTCAAGCACTTCAAATCAAGCACTGATTCGAAAGTTTTCAGCTATAAAAAATTGAGATTTAAAGAGTGCTTTGCCTCTCTGGAGTCTTAGGGATCTTCTAAATATCAAGCACTTTAATTCTACGTGACGCTTTCAGCGTAACCAAGACTTGCAAGGTGCTGATTCAAAATTGTGAATGTGTACCTTTGAGGAAGCTTGAAAAAAGCTGGCGTTCTTTTCCGTTAAATTATCGGAAATTTACTAAACATCCTCAATCTAATTCTAGCTAATGACCGATGCAATAAACAAAAGACTAGAATTCATTAGCATAACAATGGGTTAACTCAAATGTGCGTGGAAATTTGTCCTCTTCTAATCTCTCACGCATCCAAAGTCATCGAACATTAACGTGCATCAAACATCGCGATTGCCTAAATCGCAACAATCATCATCAACATGAGGCTTACATGCGTCAAGTGTGCGATTTATAAATCGGCATCGGACAGATTTAATAAACCCGATGTAGTTTTAGAGCGTCCGGCGCTCGGTACGGTCTCTTAATTAGTTCGAATTCAATTAACATCTCTCACACTCAATCTATATACAGGCTTTGTAGCCTTTGGCACACCTTTAAGAACCAATCGGTGCCAGTTTCAGAGTTTGGATCAATCGGTGCCCAAGGACAGTATTCAGCTTTCCTTCAACTCACTTTGTAAGTGCTTGCCAGATTTTGGCTTCTTGGGGTCTCCAGGGTTTTGTTGTACTCCAAAGTGTGTAGATTATTTTCTGGCCTGAAATGGCAGTCAACCTTCGCAAACCATAACCGTACGAAATTCTCTATTTGGAGCCATTTGCTTGCTGAATATTAAACACGATCGACTGATAGAATGGGGAAGCGTTTGTAGCATTAAATTGGGACTTGAAATAATTTATTATTTAATATAAACATATTTAAAACTCAAAAACTTAGAGAGAACATCAAAGGCACACGTTATGGACCTTTGCTCCAACGTCACTTTAAGTCTCTAAACGCTTTTGTCTAGGCGCGAAATTTCAATGGGAACTGCGCTGATTTTGCTTTTTTGGATGTCGGGCACAGGGAGTCTTTTTAATTTGGGTAACCAAAACATTTTCCAGACCAGCGAAGTTTCGTCAAAGCGCTGAATAACTGGCAAAATCTCCAGATTTTAGGCGTATTGAGTAGTTCTTGGTAATTATTGGGACCTGTTCGATAGAGCTTCTCTCAAATTATCCTGGCCTGGTTACATTTCATCAAAAATTCCTAACCTCTAAAGACATAGACACAAAATATGAAACAGAAACCGTTTATAACGGCTTTTAAATAAAAATTTCCAGAAAATCGTAACCGGTTTGATAAATCTTCTCACAAATTATTCTTGCCTGATTAAATTTCATCAAAAATTCCTAACCTCTAAAGAGATCTAAATAAAAAAATAAAACTGCAACAGTTTAAAACAGCTTATATCTTGGAAATGGTTGAGAATATCTAAATAATCATTAGAACGTTTTCGATACAACGCATTAAGAATTTTCTTTTCCTAAATAAAAATGTTTGCAAAATCGTAACCTTTAAAAAGCTAAGCAAAATTTTAAAAATGTATGAGGGCGCATAAATTTAATAGCTTCTATCTCGCAAACGGTTAAACAAATCTGAAAAATCGTTTGGACATGTTTGATAGAGCGTCTCTAGAGCTTTCCTTATCTTGAAGGTTTATCAGAAATTCCTAACCTCTAAAGAGATTGAACCAAAATATGGAATAAAAACAGTTCGAAACGGCCAATTTTCAGAAATAATTAGGACTTATTTAATACAGGGTTTCGACAATTAGGTTTTCCTAACTGCTTTTAGAAATTCCCAAAATTTGCAGAAATTCCTAACCTTTAAACAGCTTCAAACAAAAATCTCAAAATATATGAGACCTTAGAAGTTCACTAGCTCATATCTCCTAAACGCTCAAAAATATCCCAACAATCAGTAGAACCTTTTTGATAAAGCGTCTCTTGAACTTTTCTAGCGTCACAGATTGATCGTAATTCCTAACCGCTAAAGATGAAGAAACAGACATTTTAAACCGAAACAGCTTAAATCGGCTAATTTTTCAGAAATGGTTGAAAATACCTAAATAATAATTAGAACTTATTTAATACAGGGTTTCGATAATTAGGTTTTCCTAGCTGCTTTTAGAAATTCCCAAAATTTGCAGTAATTCCTAACCTTTAAACAGCTTCAAACAAAAATCTCAAAATATATGAGACCTTAGAAGTTCACTAGCTCATATGCCCTAAACGCTTAAAAATATCCCAACACTCAGTAGAACCTTTTTGATAAAGCGTCTCTTAAACTTTTCTAGCGTCACAGTTTGATCGTAATTCCTAACCTCTAAAGATGAAGGAACAGAAATTTTAAACCGAAACAGCTTAAATCGGCTGACATCTTTGCTGATATGGTTGAAAACACTTGAATAATCGTTAGGACTTTTCTGATAGAGCGTTTTGCAAACTGTCATTTCCTAACTAGTTTTTTAACTTTATAAAAGTCTCAGAAGTTCATAACCTCTAAACGACTACAAATGAAAGTCTAAAAATACATGAGGCCGCAGAAGTTTAAGCTTTTATCTCCTAAACGGTCAAAAATATCTGAAAAATCAATCTTTCCTTTTTGAAAAAGGGTCTTTTGATCTGTCTTGGTCTAATTAAGTTGACTTGATGAGAGAAAGGACAATAAAATCTTCGATTTTTTAAATATCTAAAAATTGCATGTTTTAAATGTAAACCAAGTATCGCTTCTCGCATCGACTGAGCATCTTTAATTACAATGTCCGGCTTTTAATAAGCACGAAAAAATAAGAATTTCCTAGTTGTTAATTAATTTCCGGCCCAAACTGTTAAACATTGGACACCTTGGACCTGTTTTGTAAAATGCTTTTCAATGTGCACTTTTTTTAAAAGGTTTTTCAACCGATTTCATAATTTTGTTTGATCGCATATAATACTCGGAATTCTAAAATTAGACCCGACCAACTTCTAATTTTATTGTCAAAATTGGAAAATTCATATTCAAACTATTCATTTAAGCTTCATATCCAATGCATATGACATCTTTCGAGCGAAATTTGCAATTAAAATTGTTCCCATACTATTAATAGTGGTGTTCAATTCAGTTTAGGTTAAAAGTCGCTATTTGGAGCATTTGTTACACTCTCTAAGTGTGGACAATATAATTGCATTTTTCTCAAAATTGCCGGTTTTCCACTGCAGTCGCGCTGTTAAGCGCTTACTTTTTATGCATGTTTGAAGACCAGTTCAGCTTTTTCTCATCGATATTTTACGTGACCAAATAGCGGAAAGAGCTAATTTTTTTGCTGATAACAGCCCCACCATTCAGTCTACACATGAAACGTTCATAACAATCAATAGAATGACTTTAAGTGGATAATTCGCGAATTTCCATTGACCTCTAAGTAACCGAAAGATCGTCCGATTTTGCTTATGTAATTCAATAATTACCATTATGATATGTTTGATTAACTGTGTATTTATAATTTTTGTTTTCAAAACATCGCTATTTGAAATGTCGCACAGATAAATGCACATTGTGTATTTTATTGCTTAAGTACAGATTTTTCTTATCTTGAATTTGCGATTTCTTTCTGGCGATTTCTAGTCTTCGACTATTTGTATGTTTTTATCACCCATTAGCTAGAAACTCGCTAGTTTTGCTTAACTTCTGAACGAGCTTTTCTTAATAATTTTGTTAATTAATTATGTTTTTCTTGTCCTGGACATTTTTCGTTTTCTGTTTTCTAATGATTATCTGCACAAGATTTTCCCAATAATTTCTTCAAACCTGCCTTGCTTCTTTTAACTTTTACCTGATAATCGTAAGATGTGTATTTGATTTGCTTACTACTATTTAGATTGTTGTTTATCTCAAATTGCTTGTCAGTGACTTTTCTCAATTTTTTCCCAATTTATCGAAGAGTTTCATTACTTTTTACTTTCAGACTTTAGTTTATTGACGCCTTCGCTTTATTTTTTTTTAAATAATTCAACTTTTATTTTTGTCTGAATTGCGTTGCACTGCATTGCACGAATGCATTTTTTATGATCTTCTGTTGTTTTAGTTTGGCCTTTGTCAATGAATTTTTCAAAATGCTGCCTAATTGAGTGGCTTGATAGTTTAATTTTAGCCTTTTTTTAATTATTATTAAATCATTTTTCATATAGCTGATTATATTTTCCATAATAAGAGAAGAGCACGAAACAGAATTTGTGCCTTTAAACCTAGAAGCGAAATAACACAGTGAAGAAGAGTCAAGAAGCCCAAAAAAGATCTTAAAAAAGGTTTATTAACGCTAATATTCATACAGTGTGAGAAGGGAAACTATCGAATAGAGCAATTAAAAAGGAGTCTCCGAAACAACATATAATATTGAAAGTAAACAAGGAAATTACAGCGACTAGTATAAAGGAACGAACGTACCTTTAAGAAAGGCGAAGAGCTGAATAAAAGAGCTGGAATAAAATTTGTTCGATTTTTGTCGCCCTCTTTTTTGCTTTTTTTATTTGCACTTGAATATCTATATAAGATCAATTCCCAATTCTTCTTGTCTCTTTTTCCACATATTATTGCTGCTGTAAACGATTGTCAATTTTCATTTAATGTTTGCTTAAGTGAAATTGAAATCATATTTGCAATTTTGATGCTTCATAATTTTTTGAATTTTAAGAGCATTTTTCTCTCATTTTCCCATTTGTTAGCTGGAAGCTATGTTCTAATTAATGGTCTTCTGCCTACAATTTCTCAATAATTTTGCACGTTTTTTTGTTTGCTGCTGATTATTTTATTTATTTATTTTATTTCTTTCAATCGCGTGCTGGTTATTTTTTATGCAAACCTTTTTTTCCTGGGAAGTTTATCTTGATTTTCGTTCACTGAACAACCGCAAAACGCGGAGAATAAGAGTAAAGGAAAGGAATAAGAGTAAAACATGAGACCATTTAAGACGGTTTGGCACCGGAACAGCAAAGAGCAAACTACTGGAAGCATTGCAGAAGAAAATATCAGACAAAACCAACAACAGTCAAACTTATTAAAGCAGATCCAAACCATGCTTGGAAAGAAGAAACAGCTTATAAGTTAAGAAAGAATAATGAATTAAAAGCATTGAAGGTCACTTTTTCCTAATTACACATTCAATTGCGATATTATCATATCAACTATTATAATGGCGTGATTTTGTTTTCGATTGGCCTTCACATTCGCACGAGTCCATTCGAGGTGCAATTTATGTAATTTTATATTGTCTCGACTGTATTGTAAATTTATTAAAATAAGTTTAATTAGGGAAACTGATGAGTGCGCTAATCAAGCATGTATAAATTGCCACAATTATTGAGTGTTAAGGGGCTTTCTTCGCGGAAAGTGTCCAGTTAGTAGAAGTTTTATGGTGCTTAACATACTTTTTCGCTTACTAGATCGCTGATGGCCCCCAATATCCAATCGGCCCCAACGGGTGTTCTTCAAGAAGGAGATGAAGAAATAATCTCCGTCGTTAAACCCTCGAGAGATGATAAACCCACCCCAAGAAAAATCCAGCTGGTTTGGAGGAACATTATCATCTTCGCCTATCTGCATGCTATTGCTGTTTACGGATTCTATCTCATGCTGACTTCGGCTAGAATATACACTTCTATTTATGGTGAGTTTTTCTGTGTGTTCCAACTTTTCGGGAAATAAAAACGGAATTTTTCAGCCATTATTCTGTATCAAATGGGAGGCTTTGGAGTCACAGCAGGAGCGCATAGGTTGTGGTCGCATCGCGCCTACAAAGCCAAGTGGCCGTTCCGCCTTTTCTTGGCCTTTTGCAACACTTTGGCCTTCGAGGTATTTTTATTAGCTGGTTCGAAAAACACCGCAAAAACATCCTGCTTTTCAGAATTCAGTAATTGAATGGTCCAGAGATCATCGCGTCCACCACAAGTTCTCCGAAACAGACGCTGATCCCCATAATGCAAAGCGAGGTTTCTTCTTTGCCCATATGGGCTGGCTGCTGGTTCGCAAGCACCCGGACGTCATTGAACAGGGGAAGAAACTCGAAATTTCTGATCTTTACGCCGACCCCATCCTCAGGTTCCAGCACAAGTACTACATGCTTCTGATGCCAATTATTTGCTTTGTGCTGCCCGTCCCCATTCCAGTGCTCCTCTGGAACGAAACCTGGCTGAATTCGTTCTGCTTGAATATCTTCAGATACGTCTTCACTCTGCATGCTACGTGGTTGGTCAACTCAGCAGCCCACTTATGGGGACACAGACCTTACGACCAGTCAGTTCTTCTTCCGATTATTATCTCGTGAACCACTCGACATTTTTTTTTCAAAATTCTAGGTTCATAAACCCCTCAGAAAATATCGCGGTATCCATTCTGGCTCTGGGTGAGGGCTGGCACAACTATCACCACACCTTCCCATGGGACTACAAGACTTCTGAGCTGGGAAAGTACTCAGTAAACTTCTCCACCTGTCTAATTGATATGATGGCCAAGATCGGCTTGGCTTATGATCTGAAATCCGTCTCAGAAGACATGATCAAGAAGCGGGTGCTCAGAACAGGCGATGGCACTCATGAGGTGTGGGGCTGGGGAGACAAAGACCAACCTAGAGAAGACCAAAAGGAGGCGGTGATTACACATAGGAAGCTCACGTGATTTACTTCCAATAGATTTTTTTAGAGAAATATATTATTTTTGTGTTATAGTTTTTGATTGATTTTGGATGTAGTTTAGATTAGAATCATTAAGGCGTTTGTGGCTGCTGTCGATTAAGCAATTAACTCGTTGCAGATATTTGCCTCTCTCAATATGTGTTTCTTCTACTTCTGAATTATTTTTAACTGTTTCTAGGTGATTTTTGTTTAGTTTTTCGTAATGTGTTTTTGAGATTTTGTCGATTTATATATTTATTGTTGGAAACCAAACGTTTCCTCTGCTGCGTATTTTAATTTATGTTCCGTTCTCATATTCTTCTCATCAACCATGTTCATCAGTATTTAGTTGAGTATTTTATTTTGATTCTTTAGATTATCAGCAAGTGAAGTGAAGTCAATTTACGTTTGTGTTTTTGTAAAACGTATCTTCATTTTTCTCCCTCTCTTCAATTTCTTTTGCGCTTCATTATCAGATTTGGTTTTTCTTTCAATTGTTTATCGTTCCAGTTTTTCTGTGGCTATCGATTCTGTTGTAAAAAGAAGTCCGTTTTCTCTCTTTCGGGCCATCTCGGTTCTGGCAGTCCAAATTTTTCAGTTTTCTATTGTTTGTGTATAATTTTTGTTTGGTTGCTTAGATTTTTTTAGATTTTTGTATGTTCGCTTTTGCTGTATATTTGCTTTGCTATTAGACTGTTTATCTTTAGTACTTTAATCGTGGTCTGAAATATATTTTTTGTTTTCATACTTTTTGTGTTTTTTGCGTCATTATCGAATGGGGTTCCATACTATTAATTTTTTCTCCTTATTTTCAGCTTGTCAAATTGCGTTGTAAAAATTGACGGTTTTTATTTCTTCTGTTGCGTAATTTCTGCTTTTTTATCTTCTGTCAACCTTCGATTTTTGCTCCATTATCAAATTCAGTTGCTTCTCATCCCATTTAAGCACTGTCTGAATGATTTTCTAATATTATTTCATTCTTTTCTCCTGATTGATCTTCATTCGCTGTAGTCTTCATTAATTGTAGTGATTTTATTTTTTAAATATTTATTTCTTTTATTTCATTGCCACGTGTTTTACCTTATCACCTACTTTAATTACTGTATGAATAATTTAGTCCTATTTTTCACGCTTTTTTCGAATATCTCCTCAAATCCACTTTGTTTCTCGATTGTGGTTTCAATTCACTTGTTTCCTTCTTCAGATTCTTCGTGAGTATCAGCTCAGTCTGTGTTTGCTATTACATAATTTATTTTATATTATTATTATATTTCACTTATTTTTTGTTTTACTTCATTACCAGGTCGTTCGTCTGCTCAACTACTTCAAGCGCTGTATGAATAATTTAGTGTTGTTCTGTTCATTCTTCTGTAGCCTATTTTCGTTCAAATTCATCTTGATCATGGTTTTAGTTCATTTTGCTTGTTTCTTTAGATTTACATTGATTTTCGGACTATTTTCAGCGTAGTTTTTTTTCAAATTCCTCTTGATTCGTGACAGTGGCTTCATTTCATTTGCTTCTTTACTCAGATTTTCTGGGATTTTCGGTTTATTGTTTAGGACTATGAAAAGCAGCTAATTCTTTTTTACTCCTTGCTCTTTTAGCAGTCTGTAATTCTCCTTAATTGTGTGCTTTTTCTTCTTTTGAATTGTTCTTTTTGCTGTCTGATTAATTTTCACTTAAGTCTTCGCCACTATTTTCCTTCTACTGTGTATTTATCTTGTGCTACGTTTATTGCTTTTCCATAGATTTATTTTTTAGTCCTTCAACTATTATCCTCGGTTTCTTTAACTTCAATTGTGCAAGCAGTTTGGGTCCTTTTTCTAGAACGGGCGTCTTTCGACCTAAACTAGGCCTACTCTGACTACTACTATCTACTGAACTTTTGCAGGCGAATTAGTACGTGATTGAAAAAAAGTGTTTCAATGTATTATTCTAATAAATCTCTATTGAAACTATGTACGATTCTAAGTGGTTTGATGACTTAAATGCAAAACGCGCCTTTACAATATCGTATCACATCAAATGAATGGGTCAAATACATTCAGTGGGGTCAAAGATAATCGTTTTTCAGGGACGCAAAGCACTGAAATGCTATTTCCTTTAAAGGCTCTGCAAGGGCGCTTTCACTCTACGAGCACGAAAAATGGATTAAGACCGGTGAGTAAGTAAGTAGTAAGTACCAGCTTCGAGCGCAGGAATTGTCCAGACTGTTCCATGATCGGCCTATGAAACCAATGGAAACAGCCGTTTACTGGATCGAGTACGTGATTAGGAATAAAGGGGCGGAGCATTTGAAGTTAGGATCCCTGAAGTTACGATGGTTTGAATATTACATGGTAGATGTTCTGCTTGTTTTGGTTGGCATTGTTGCTAGTTTGGTTATTGTGTTGGTACTGGCCTTTAAATGGGCGGCTGCTTGGTTTGGGAAGGCTGAAAAAATCAAGCAACAGTAAGAGGATGGGAATAAATTAATTTTTAATCCGTAGACTTTACTTACGCCGATTTTTTTAAGTTACTGTATTTTTCCATCCCAAAAGCAGCTCTACTGTTACTTGCACTTCATTGTTCCCATTTGAGAAGCTTTTGTGGGTCTTCACTTTTCATCCTTATTTACTCTTTCTTTATTAGTTTCTAGGATTATTTTCCTTTTGGGAGTGCTTACTAACTTACTTAATCTTTCCATACCAAAAGAACCCTAGACCTTATCAGGTCTGTAAATGCCTGTCAGTTAAGTTTTTTTTTAAATAAACAAAATTTGAATTATTGAAAATAAAAAAATTATGGACTTGTATATAGAGAATTTTATGGGGAAATCTCAACAGTATTAGTTCAGCAAGTTTTAATCTCGTGATTTTTCTCAATGTTTGCCAAATCATTGAATTTTTGAATCTGTTGCAACGGACTTCGCGTCCCGGTACGCTAGTAATTTTTTTTGATGAAGTGAAGAAGCAATCTTCACTTTATCAGACCTGTTTTTTTCGCAATGTTCTTCGATTATTGCCAAATTTTTAAAATCACAGTTTGCCACTCTACTCTACTAGTTACGTACGTCTACTGTATAAGTTACGTTGTTTTTTCATTTATTATATAAAATGGGGACTGACTACTAGACTTCTTAACAGAGCATTGCATAGAGAAATTTCCTCGATTTTAGGTCGGAAAGTATCGATTCTCTGGTGACTTTCGTTGATTTTTGGTAAATCTTTTAGCTGAACGATTGACTAGATGAACCGTTGCAGCTGACTTCGGGCGTGTTGGAAATTTTTTTTTTTTATTATAACGTAAAATCAAGACAAGACAGAAGGTTTTATGTTAACTATTGGCAAAAGCAATGTTCACGTTATCAGGTCTGAAATTGTCAATTTTCTTTTCAATTTACTTTTTTTGGTACACGATTTTTGGCAAATTGTTTAAATGAAAGTTTGCAGCTCTCCTCTAATTCTGCAGATTAAATTTTATTTCAATTTCTTATTCAAAATGGGGAGTAACGAATAGACCTTATACGAAGCAGTGGCTAGAGAAACCTCCTCTCTCAGGTCACCAATTGTTGATATTCTCGTGATTTGTCTCGATTTTTGGCAAATTTTAAAATAAAAAAAAAATGCACAATTTTTTTCAAAAATTGCTTCCGAAAAATCGAGACTAGCTCAAAGACTGTCTTATAAACCAGTTGAAAGAGCAATCGTCACTTTATGAAGTCTGCTAGTGTCGATTTTTTTTTTAATTTCCTTCGATTTTTGGCATATTTTTAAAATGAGAATTTGCAAGTCTTCACTAATTTTTTAAGTTGACATGTATTTAAATTTATTATTAAAAATTTATTTATAAAAATTTTTGCAATCAGGTAGGAGCAATTAAATTTAACCGCCTCGGTGCGCCGGAAATACAGTTTTTTTTAAGTTTCTTGTATACACTGAACATCAACTAGAAAGCTATTTTATCGACAGTTTAAGAGATCAATCCTTTACTCTATTAGGTCTGCAAGAACTAGTTTTCCCGTAAAGTGTTGTTTCCAATTTTGGCAACTTTTTTAAGTGAAAGTGTGCTGCTCTCCTACATTTCTGCAGATTAACTTTTCTTTAAATTTAAATTATTGAAAATAAAGCCTGACTAGTGGAACTTCTTGCAGAGCATTGCATAGTGGATAGAGAAATCTGCACTCTACCAGGTCGAAGTGTTGATTTTCTGGTGGCTTTCGTCTATTTTTGTAAACATTTTCAAAATGCAAACTTTACTACTTTTAGACCGTTTTAATCAACTTCGCGTATCTGTCCGCAAGAAATACATTTTTTTTTAAATTGGCCTTGCATGAATAATTTAGTCGTGATTCTTTACGCTTTTGGACTCCAAAATTCATGTTGATTCACGATTGTGGTTTCCTTTGGTTTTTAGCTCCTGCAGATTTTTTCACATAATTTTCATTACTGACTGACTGACTTGTTTTCGTTTGGTTCTTCAAACTTTCTTCATGCCATCTTCTCATTATCTAGCAGAATTTTATAATATTCAGAATATCTTTATTTTTATCCAATAAAGTATTTTTTTCCTGCTCTTCTAGCAGTCTGTAATTCCCCCTTTCTTGTGTGCTTTTTTACTTTTAAATTGTTCTTTTTGCTGTCTGATTAATTTTCACTTAACTCTTTACCACTGTCTTCCTTCTACTGTATGTTTATCTTTGTCTACGTTCCTTGCTTTTCCAGCGATTTCTTTTTTAGTTCTTCAACTATCATCCTCGGTTTCTTCATCTTTCGACCAAACTAGGCCCAAATCTACTGAACGTTTGTGTTACAATATCTATATTATTCTAATTGAATTGAAACTATGTATTCTCCATTGAAACTATGTATGATTCTAATTGGTTTGATGATCTAAATGCGAAATGTGACTTTGCATTATAGTATCACATCAAAGGTATCGACCGATTACATTCAATTGGATTAACGATAATCGTTTTCCAGGGACGGAAAGCACTGATATTTAATTTCCTGTGAATGGCGCTACAAGGGCGCTTTCGCGTTTTGAGCAAGTAAGATCGGTCTAATGTGATGTATTACTCTGAATTAACATCGGTGAGCTTAGCGATTATTTTCGCAACTATTGGCGCAGAAAAAGCGGCGATTTTTGCAAAAATTGCGTTTTCCACGCAATATTTCATCTAAATCCCACACTGGCTCCAGTTAGAAATAAAACCTTGGTACTTGAAAATCCCTCTCACAGTTTAAATCTATCAATCTGCTAATTCTAAAATACATTCGGCTTCATAATGCAATTTAAATATTTCGTTTTATCTCTGTGGGTTTCCCACTTGGGAAATGGTGTGGAAAGTGCAAAAGTTCTGGGGATTTTCCCACTGGCCGGCCGCAGCTTGAATATTTTGTACAACAAACTGATGAAGGGGATGGCTGATGCTGGGCACGAAGTCACAGTTATAAGCGCCTACAAGAACAAACTGCCCATAGGAAATGGCTCTTATACGGATGTGATTTTAACAGGTGTCGAAGAAGAATATGAAAGTAGGTTATCGTTAATTGCAAAGGGCGCAATATCATTTTTGTCCAAAGAAGCTCGGCTCGGACGATTTATGTAATAGAGATTTTGAGCGTCCACAAGAAAAACCAAAACTTCTAATAATGTTTTCAGAAATTCTGGAAAATGCCAATTACTTGGAAAGCGCAGAACAGTACCCGATCTGGCAAAGCTACCACTGGCACCTGCTAACCCTGACAATCCTTAACCAAACCTTCACTCATCCAAACGTTCTAAGATTCCTCAAGCAGAGGCACGAATTCGACGCTGTTGTCACTGAATATGGATGGGGCGAAGCCCAGCTGGCCCTATCCAGCTACTATCAGTGCCCCCTGGTGGTGTTGATCAGCGTTGGAGGTGTTAATTCTTGGGTCAACGACATGCTTGGAAACCCCGTCCCCATTTCCTATGTGCCTCACAGCTGGATGTTAGGCGACTTCTCTCAAGGGATGAATCTTCTGGAGCGGCTCCACAACATGCTGTTCTTCCTATATGACCAGTTCCTGGTCAGATTCATCCAGTTTCCAGCCAATGATCGGATTATCCAGTCCTATATGCCCAATGGACCCAAAGCTGCGGATCTCTACCATTCTCCTTCGCTGGTTCTTCTGGGGTCGCATTCCAGTTTTAGGCAATCTACGCCCATGGCGCCCAACATGGTAGAAATTGGAGGCTTTCACATCGATCCTCCTCAACCTCTTCCTAAAGACCTGCAATTGTTTCTGGATGAGGCTCAGGATGGGGCAATTTTCTTCAGCATGGGCTCCCATGTGAAGAGCAAGGACTTCAGTGCGGAAAAGAAGCAGTTAATTATCAACGTATTCGGCAGGCTCAAGCAGCGGGTTTTGTGGAAGTTTGAAGACGATGCTCTGCCTGAAAAGCCCAGTAATGTTATGGTGAGGAAATGGATGCCCCAAATTGACATTCTAGGTGAGCAGCTCGTTGTAATTTCAAACCTCTAGTGTCTTCTATATCCACCCATTTCGTTCTATCTCGTAGCCCATCCGAACATCAAGCTCTTTATCAGCCATGGAGGACATGGGAGTATTCTGGAAGCGCTCTACCATGGAGTCCCGACCCTGATGATTCCAGTTTTCCTTGATCAATTCAACAACGCTTTCCAGTCAGAGAGTCGGGGCTTCGCCTTAAAGCTCTCCTACAGGGACCGCAACTTTACGGAAGAAACGTTCCACGGACTGATCAAGGAAATGCTAATTAATCCCAAGTACCGGCTTCGAGCGCAGGAATTGTCCAGACTGTTCCATGATCGGCCCATGAAACCAATGGAAACAGCCGTTTACTGGATCGAGTACGTGATTAGGAATAAAGGAGCGGAGCATTTGAAGTTAGGATCCCTAAAGTTGAGATGGTTTGAATATTACATGGTAGATGTTCTGCTGGTTTTGGTTGGCATTGTTGCCAGTCTGGTTATTGTGCTGGTACTGGCCTTCAAATGGGCGGGTGCTTGGTTTGGGAGGGCTGGAAAAATCAAGCAGCAGTAAGAGGATGGGAATAAACGAATTTTTAATCCATAGGATTTAGCTGAACGCTCGAAGCTTTTTGAGTTTTTGACTGTGTGTTTTGACTTTTGCTCTTCTTTATCCTTTCTTTGTGGGTTTGTAGGATTTTTACTCAGAGCAATCTTTGTAAGTTACTGCATTTTTTCATCTCAAAAGAAGGTTTACTGCTACTTGCGCTTCATTGTTCCTCTTTGAGAAGCTTTCGTGAGTCTTTCCTTTTCTTCCCCATTGCTCTTTTTTTATTAGATTATAGGATTCTTTACCTTTTGGTAGTTCTTAGTAACTTACTTAATGTTTCTATACCAAAAGAACCCTAGACTTTACCAGGTCAGTACATGCATGTCAGTTAATTTTTAAAAAAATTTTAACCAAAATTTAATTTATAACAATAAAAAATTAGTAGACTTTTATACAGGGTGTCGCAATAAGGATGGTAAGCGGCTGTATCTTGGAAAGTATGTGTTGTAGAGTGATCGGAAAAAAAATTAATAACAAACTTGAAGAAAAGAATTAGCTGGAAATTATTTTGAAATTTCTCAGATGACCACTAGATGTCGCAATTGCCAACGGTATTTTAAAAAGTCGATTTTATACAGAAATTGTCCCGATAAGTGAAACATCTAGTAAGTTTAGTCAAAAGATCATAAAAAACCGTACTACTTTCCTAATAAACTTTTTTCCTAACTTGTCAAATAAAGGGTGGGGGAGAGTCAAACCACTTAATTCAAAGAAACCTGTAACTCCGAAACGGCCTGACCGATTTCAAAGTGTTTACTATCAATTGAAAGAGCAATAAAAACTCTACAATATGTTATATTAAATCAATCTTAATCAGTTTCGAAAAATCCGCTGTTTGAAAAAAATAATTTGTTTTAGTTTTTCACAAAAATTTCAAATACTTCCCTCAAGTTATTCTACACGCATTCGAAGGCACAGGAAAAAATGAACTAAACCGCAAAGACCGCATCTTAAAATAATTTCTGGAATCTATTTAATACTTGAAAATAATAAATGTTGCCTAATTCAAATAATTAAAGTTTAATTAAAATTCTAAGATATCGGTCGAATACGTTCAATTGGATCAAAGATAATCGTTCTCCAGGGACGGAAAGCACTAAAATTAAATTTTCTTGAAAGGCTCTACAAGGGCGCTTTCACGTTTTGAGCAAGAAAGATGGGTCTAATGTTATGTAACATTCTGGATTAATATCGATGAGCTTAGCAATGATTTTCGCAATTATTGACGCAGAAATAGCGGGGATTCTTGAAAAATTTGTGTTTTCTACGCAATATTTCATCTAGTTAAATCCCACACTGGCTCAACTTAGAAATAAAATTTTGGTACTTCAAATTTCCTCTCACGGTTTAAATAAATCAATTGGTTAGTTCTAAAATTCAATCTGCTCCATAATGCTGTTTAAATTTTTCGTTATATCCTTGTGGGTTTTCCACTTGGAAAATGGTGCGGAAAGTGCGAAAGTACTGGGGATTTTCCCATTGGCCGGCCGCAGCTTGAATATTTTGTACAACAAACTGATGAAGGGGATGGCTGATGCTGGACACGAAGTCACAGTTATAAGCGCCTACAAGAATAAACTGCCCATTGAAAATGGCTCTTATACGGATGTGATTTTAACCGGTTTCGAAGAAGAATATGAAAGTAGGTCTACTTAGGTTAATTCCAAAGTGCGCAATACAATTTCTGTCGAGACAAGCTCAGCTCGGACGACTTATGTAATAGCGAGGTTAATAGTTTGATGTAGGAAACTGAGGATTTTGAGCCTCCAAAAGAAAAACCAAAACTTCTAAAATTATTTTCAGAAATTCTGGAAAATGCCAAATACCTGGAAACCGCAGAACAGTACCCGATCTGGCAAAGCTACCACATGCACCAGCTAAACCTGATGATCGATAACCAAACCTTCTCTCACCCAAACGTTCTAAGATTCCTCAAGGAGAGGCACGAATTCGATGCTGTTGTCACTGAATATGCATGGGGCGAAGCCCAGCTGGCCCTATCCAGCTACTATCAGTGCCCCCTGGTGGTGTTGATCAGCGTTGGAGGCGTTAATTCTTGGGTTAACGACATGCTTGGAAACCCCGTCCCCATTTCCTATGTGCCTCACAGCTGGATGTTGGGCGACTTCTCTCAAGGGATGAATCTTCTGGAGCGGCTCCATAACATGCTGTTCTTCCTATATGACCAGTTTCTGATCAGATTCATCCAGTTTCCAGCCAACGATCGGATTATCCAGTCCTATATGCCCAATGGACCCAAAGCTGCGGATCTCTACCATTCTCCTTCGCTGGTTCTTCTGGGGTCGCATTCCAGTTTTAGGCAATCTACGCCCATGGCGCCCAACATGGTAGAAATTGGAGGCTTTCACATCGATCCTCCTCAACCTCTTCCTAAAGACCTGCAATTGTTTCTGGATGAGGCTCAGGATGGGGCAATTTTCTTCAGCATGGGCTCCCATGTGAAGAGCAAGGACTTCAGTGCGGAAAAGAAGCAGTTAATTATCAACGTATTCGGCAGGCTCAAGCAGCGGGTTTTGTGGAAGTTTGAAGACGATGCTCTGCCTGAAAAGCCCAGTAATGTTATGGTGAGGAAATGGATGCCCCAAATTGACATTCTAGGTGAGCAGCTCGTTGTAATTTCAAACCTCTAGTGTCTTCTATATCCACCCATTTCGTTCTATCTCGTAGCCCATCCGAACATCAAGCTCTTTATCAGCCATGGAGGACATGGGAGTATTCTGGAAGCGCTCTACCATGGAGTCCCGACCCTGATGATTCCAGTTTTCCTTGATCAATTCAACAACGCTTTCCAGTCAGAGAGTCGGGGCTTCGCCTTAAAGCTCTCCTACAGGGACCGCAACTTTACCGAAGAAACGTTCCACGGACTGATCAAGGAAATGCTGATTAATCCCAAGTACCAGCTTCGAGCGCAGGAATTATCCAGACTGTTTCATGATCGGCCCATGAAACCAATGGAAACAGCCGTTTACTGGATCGAGTACGTGATTAGGAATAAAGGAGCGGAGCATTTCAAGTTAGGATCCCTGAAGTTGGGATGGTTTGAATATTGCATGGTAGATGTTCTGCTAGTTTTGGTTGGCATTGTTGCCAGTTTGGTTATTGTGTTGGTACTGGCCTTTAAATGGGCGATTGCTTGGTTTGGGCGGGCTGGAAAAATTAAGCAACAGTAAGAGGATTGCAATAAATTAATTTTTAATCCGTAGACTTTAGCTGAACGTTCGAAGCTGTTTGAGTTTTTGACTCTGTGTTTTGACTTTTACTCTTCGTTATTCCTTCTTTGTTAGTTTTGTAGGATTTTTACTTAGGGCGATCTTTTTAAGTTACTGCATTTTTGCATCTCAAAAGCAGCTCTACTGTTACTTACACTTCATTATTTCCATTTGAGAAGCTTTTGTAGGACTTCACTTATCTTCCTCATTGCTCTTTCTTTATTAGTTTCTAGGATAATTAGAGAGTTTGATAGAGAAATTTCAACAGTGTTAGGTCAAGAAGTGTCGATTCTCTCGTGATTTTTCTCAATTTTTGGCCAAGTTTTAAAGTAGAACATTGACTAGATTTGATAGTTGCAACGGACTTCGGGTACGGGTACTAATTTTTGTTCCAAAATTCCTTACGTAAAATTAAGACTAGCTGGAATTTCAGACCATTCGGACGAGCAAACTTATTTATGCAAAATGGGGACTGACTGGTAGACTTCTTTACAGCACTTTCGTCGATTTTCGGCAAATTTTTAAAGCGAAAGATTGACTTGGTTTTACTTAGTTGTAATTGACTTCGCGTCTCCGCGCACTGAGAATATATTTGTCTAAAATTTCTTGCACAAACTGAAAACCAGTTAAAAGGCTACTATATTCATCGTTTTTTAACCTGTGTTAATAATTTTGCGATGTTCTTCTTAAGAAATTTTACTTTTCACTTTTCTCTTTCATTCTTGCTTCTATTTTCATTACGTTTTCTCTGATAATTTGCACGACCATTTTTCTTTAGAAATTCTTAGTAAGTTATTAAATGTTTTCATTTAAAAGAGGTTGTATTGCTGCATGCAGTTCCAGTTTCCATTTTGGAAGCTTTGCTCTTCAATAACCTCTTATTTCTTGCTTGTTCTACAATTATGAATCATCAGTTTTAAATTAGTCAAAGATGCAGCTTTTTTATCCGTTGTTAAATTTTGTTTCTCACCAGAAATTTTCTTTCAGTTTTAGCAGCTGTAAAGTTTTCACCAGATTCCTTAAGAATCCTGTGAAAAAAGTGTTTTTGAACCTTTTTTTCACTATTATCAGTTAATGGAGCTAACTTAATTGAAATCGCATGATTTTTTATTGGATTTTTATATTTTTCTACAAAACTTGTGACAATTCTATTTTAGTAAATCTAAGGACTAGCATGAACATTTCTGCAAGTCGAATGGGGGTCTTTCACTAACATCTACCTAACGGTTATCCCTTGATGTCCTCTATTCTACATGTTAATCCACTTAATTCCCAAGCAAGTTTGGTGCTTTATACAGTATGTTCCACATATAATGGTCAACTCAAAGCTTGCATGCAAAATACCCATTATTATTGCAAATTTGGCAAATCAAAGACTAGCAATTAACTGGTCTGTGTCCCATTTGTCCAATATGGGTGTCAGAAAATTTGGCAAGAGCTCGAGCTTTTTACTGCAATAAATAATCGATTTTAAGTTCACGGTTGCTTAAGCCATTACTGCACTTAATATACATGGAGCACGAGTTTAACCGCACGTTTTTTTTGGCACTGTTCTTGACACCGTTGATGGATTTTCTTGGGTTGGTTTCGTCGAAAAGCCATCAAAATTCCAGCTAAACTATCACGTTGAACAATCGCTTCGCAAAGTTCACGATGGTGGCATTTTCCAGGATCCTGTTGATGTACTGGAATAAAAGCAACAGAGTAATTTTGGAACGCTATCTTTCATTGTTTTGACCTTTTCAACCAAAGGTGTTGATTAGATTTGGGATGTCAAGGTTATTCTAATATGTACTGCACCTTTTTAATTTGTTCTTCTACCGAAGGTTTGATTTCCGGCCAAAGAATATCCAGAGCTTCTGGCGCCATGCGGGAAATCACCTTGTTGATTACATCTCCAGTCTCTTTGTCTTTGAGTAGATTGTCGAATTGGTTCTAAGTGCGAGAAAATCACTTAAATTTCACTGGGGTATTTTTTTATGTCACTCACCTCCAACTTGCCCAGTTTAATGTCTATACTCAGCTTTTCCACTCTCAGTTTGGCCGGGAGAGTGAATTTTAGGATTGTGGAGGTTCCCAGCTTTAAATCTTGCATGTTTAACCTGAGCAAAAAGCAAAGTAAAGTACTAAAGTAAAAATTGCTGCTTTTGACAATCTAGATGAATATTAGGTAAATGTGAATATTTGGAGATAAGAAAAAGGGTAAAAGGGTTTTCTTCAGTTTTGCGCGTCTATCTTATTAGAGTCTAGGACCTGTTGATGAAACCTAGTTAGTAAAACCAGCTTGAGCTCTATCGATAAGGTTCTAAACCTTTTCCAGACATTCTTGCTTTGCCTCAAAAAGTTCCAACTTCCAATATAGAGCAAGCAGGCATTTGAAACTTTCACAGTCCATAGAAGACCGGATTTTTTGTTCAAAAACACTCTTTGCTTTTTGAGAACTTGAGGATCTTAAAATCTCAGAGTCCGTAGACGAACGTTGAGGCTCAACATTTGGAAAATGTCGACTAAATAGCCTTAATCCCTGATTTTTTTCGACTTGGTAAAGTTGTCATCAAATTGGCCGTATTTGCCCAAAAGCACTCTTCGCTTCAAAAAATACGAATTTCCAATCTAGTGCAGCCACACATTTAAAACTTTCCCCGTCCATAGAAGGCAGTGAAAGCTCAAAATACTGCAAATTTCGCTCAAATCGCCTTAATCCCCGATTTTTGCCGATTTTAGAAAACTTAGCATTAAAATAGGTGTTTTCGCTCAAAAGCACGGTTTGCTTTAAAACAATTCCAACTTCCAATCTATAGGAACCGGAAACTTGAAACTTTCGCAGTCTATAAACGACAGCTGAAGCTCAAAATATGGAAACTTTCGCTCAAATTGCCTTAGTCTCCGATTTTTGCCGACTTGGAAAACTTAGCATAAAAATAGATAAGAATTGATATTTTTGCTCAAGAGTCTTTTTGCTTTAAAAAAATCTCAACTTTCAATCTAGAACAAGCAGAAACTTGAAACTTTAATAGTCCATAAAAGACAATTGAGGCTCAACATACTGCAAATATTACCCAAATCGCCTTAATCCCTGATTTTTAGCATTTTTAGCAAAAAGTTGACGCAAAAATGGGCGTTTTCGCCCCAAAGCACTCTTTGCTTCAAAAAAATCCGAACTTCCAATCTAGAGCAAGTAGACACTTGAAACTTTCCTTGTCCTTATAGGGTAGTTGAAGTTCAAAATTCTGAAAATTTCCCCCAAATCACCCAAATTAATTTTCTATTTTTGCCGACTTGGAAAACTTAGCAATAAAATGGCTGTTTTTGCTCAAATGCACTCTTTGCGCCAAAAAAATCCCAACTTCCAATCTAGCGCAAGCAGAAACTTGAAACTTTCACAGTCCATCAAAGACAGTTGGAGCTCAAAATACGGAAAATATGACCCTAATCACCTTAATCCCTGATTTTTGGCGACTTGGTAAAGTTGGTATAAAAATGGGCGTTTTTCCTTGGAAAGTGCTTTTAGGCACAACTAGATCAAGCAGATCAATGAATCCAATCTAGATCAAGCAGACATATGAAACTTTCACAGTCCATAAAAGACAGTTGACGCTAAACACACCAATCCTTAATCCCCTATTTTTGAGGACTTGGAAAACTTAGCAAAAAAATGGTCGTTTTCCCTCAAAAGCCCTCTTTGCATCAAAAAAATTCAAACTTCAAAATACAATAGAGCAAAAAAACACTTGAAACTTTTTCAGTCCATAAAAAACAGTCGAAGCTTAAAATACTAAAAAGATGACCCAAATCGCCGTAATCCCTGATTTTTGGCGACTTGGTAAAATTGGCATGAAAATGGGCGTTTTTGCCCAAAAGCACTATTTGCTCTCTAACTAAATCTCAGTCCATAGAAGAACGTCGAGGCTCAAAATTGGGAAAATGTGGCCCAAATTGCCTTAATTCCTGATTTTTGCCGACTTCGAAAACTTAGCATTAAAATGGGTACTTTCGCTCAAAAGCGCTCAGCAGTGAGCAAAAGCAAGCAGAAACTTGAAACTTTCACAGTCCATAAAAGACAGTTCAGGCTCAACATGCTGGAAATATTACTCAAATCACCTTAATCCCTAATTTTTGGCTTCTTGGTAAAGCTGGCATAAAATTGGGCGTTCTTGCCCAAGAACACTATTTGCTTGAAAAAATCCCAACTTCCAATCTACGTATTGAATTTGAGATTTGAAAGTGAGCAGTAGAGAGTAGAGTAGCAGACATTTGAATGTATCACAGTCCATAAAAGACAGCTGACACTCAAAATACTAAAAATATTACTAAAAGCCCCTAAACTCCTGATTTTTGCCGACCGGGAAAACTTAGCAGAAAAATGGGTGGTTTTGCCCAAAAGCACTATTTGCTTCAAAAAATTCTAACTGACTTAAAAATTTATAATTTCCGGTCATTTTTATTCTCCAAGTAAGGAGCAGAAGAATTCGATATATTCAGCTTTGATGAATGAAAGTTGGCCCAACTCTCTAAACAGTCGGAAAATGCATCTCTTCTTCAAAAGTCAAACTGGTTGCACTTACGTTCCTGCTTCGGGTAAATTTTTTAAGGCTTAGGAAAAAATGTAATGTTTTATCGGCCCATTTGTAAGCAAAAAAGGAACTTACAATCCAAAAAATTACATTAATTTCCACACTTTTACTACATTTCAAGAAACACATCATCAAAGTTACAAAATTTTCTTTGTAAATCCATAGAAAGCAAATCTTACACGTAAATAAAAAATGGTGCAGAAATGGCACGAAAATTGTCTAAAAAACCAGTCACTTCCGAGCTAACACTTCATTTCCAGATAACTAATTACTTTTCCAAACTACAAAAAAGTCGAAATCTTTACTACGTTTAGAAGCCAAGTGACCCTAAATAATTTGAGAGTTTTATTAAACTCGTCTAGAAACCTGATTTTCGGTATTACTATAAATATCCATTTTGAGACTGATAATTCGGTCTTAAAATGAATATTTAAACCCTCTCCTTTAAAAATTTCTATCTTCCACACTAAGTCAAGTACGTACTTAAAAGTTTCACATTATTTTGAGGACACTTGGCTCTAACGATGTTCAAAATTTCATGAATATGGCCCGATTCCTGATTGTTTGCAGCTTAGAAAATGCGCGTCTCCCAAATTAGTCAATACCAGTTCAATATCGGATGAGGTTACTAAACTGCGCTCTCACATTTAAAAATTCTACGTTATGAAACAAACGCAAGTAACAATTTGAAATTTTAGAAACCGCTCACAAAGAGCCATAGTTTCTGGATATTGCCGAGATAAGCATCAGAAGCAATCGAAATAGTCAGTTTTGAGGGATGAAAAATGGTCCAACACTCTACACAGTCTTACGCAAAACTCTTGAAAATTCAACAGCCAAAAGACCCATTTGGAAATCAAGAAGAAGATTTCGCTTTCACTAAGTGACTAAGAAAAAACAACTTTTCACTAATTGTGGGTAGAACTTACCAAAATGGACCATCCCCATAAATAACAAAGCCTCTGCCGACTTTTCCATCAATTTTGTAATTCCCGGTCACCTTGATGTAGGGGAACGTCAGGTTTAAATCCAATTTAAACCTGCAAGCGGAAAACTGGCATTAGCTGGTTTACAACAGACCAAATGTTGGTATTTTACCTAAACTGGCCCAAATCGGTAAACCGCTCTTTGTCCACCTGAAATTTCGATATGTGCTTGATTGTCAGGTTCTCGGCTTTCCCTTTTAATCTGCAACAAACCGTTACCTAATGTTTATTATTGTTATTTTGCAAATTGATCGGTTTCTGCCACAAAGTCGACTGGGTTGAGCCAATTGTTTATTACTAGTGGTTTTTTACATTAAATTTAATCAATGGCGACCCAAACGAAAAAATCAAATGCTGAAAAATCTGGTGGGTGTGGAGGCCATTTGGCCAATAGCTCTAATGGTTTGAGTCCAAGAGCGGACCATTCTGACTAATCGGAGAAACTTTCCACAACCTTTTGAACCATTAATAGGCATCAATCATCAGTAATTATCCAGGCGTTTTGTGCAACATGAAATGTGGAACTTATCGTAAACACTTTGAAAGTCATTTGGACAACATCTAATAATCATTCGCGACTAAGTAGATTAGTTAGTACACACCACTCACCTGGCAGCTTCATGGTTGACATCGAAATCGACTTTATTCACATGCAAAGGATCCAGCACTGGAATGTTCAGCTCCGGGATGCCTCTGAGGATGATGCCTCGAAACTCCTCCAATAGAGCTCTCAATCGGTCCTCAACGCGGCCAAAAGTGTTGATCACTCGATCGACTGCTCTGCCTACGAAGTTGACACTGCCTCTAATAATGCCTGCAGAAGAAGTGGATTTTTTCGCATTAATAGTTGACAGGAGTTTTTTGCCAATCTATTGTCCAATGAAACAGGCAATTAGCTTGTTAAAGTACATATTGCGCAATTAAGATATTTTAATTATTGCGCGGTTGTACTATAAAATACAAACTATTTGCATGGAATTGATATAAGCCGAGGATATCGGTTCGTTCCATTAAGGCAAAGTGAAGGAAATTTGATTTTATTTGCGTCTTATTCGGTTCGCATTTTAATTTTTGATTAGATTTTACATACACAGATTGATGTCAATCAATGCCTGATTTTTTTTTACTTGATTTACTCACCGAAAGTCGTATTGGACACTCTATTTAGAATGTCAGCGACTCGAGGCACTCTGATATCAAAGGACAACTGTCCCTGTCCGAAACTGACCAAACACGCTAGAAAAATGGACAAACCCGTTAAACTTTTCATGATGATTTTTTCGGCTTGTACAGGAACACGCGACCACTTTCTCCCGGTTTTTTCTTCCGGCTTAGGTCACATAGTGAATGATGTAAGAGTTGACACTGAAGAACGCGCAACAAGCCGCCCGGGTACCAAGCAAAGTGGTAAATGGTACCGGACAAGCGCGCGTCGGTATTTTTGTAGTAAATGGGGTTTTGTTCAAGTGCAAGCGCGCATTGATAGAATATTAATTCGATACAAGGTGTCCTAGACAGATTTTTTTTTAATCGCGATTTTTACTGGAAAATTATTTTGAAAAATTGTAATTTTTATTGCAGGTTGTTTCTTCAAACAGCTCCAAAAGTTACCTATTTTTTTTGTTAATTGCTTTCTCTTCTGGGGCTAAAGCTGACTTAAATTGGCTTAAAAATATCAGCTTCTGGTATGCTTTTCCATTTCTCTCTTCTCCTAGAGGAGGCCCTGAAACAAGTCCGTTAATTTTTGATTCAGTAGCTCGTAAATGATTTCAAAAATTGTAAACCACCAATTTTACTAATGATTCTTAAGAACTGGTAATTTAGAATGCCATAAAATCCAGGTTTTTACTGCGTTTGCCAGGACCAGGAACAATAGTCTATAGGAAGTAAATTATATTCTAAAGTCAGAAAGCGCTGGAAGTTAAACAGTCGCGGCAGGAAATTACAGGCAAGCTTCTGCTAAACTTAAAGCCAAGCTTCTGCTTCATTTTTGAACGGTTAGAAAAATAACTCAACAATTTGGTTTTCTAGTATATAGGCAATGAAAGGAAGCTCACAAACCAAGAAAATACGAATTGGCTTTGGCAAGTTTCAGGCAAAATTGCATTCACTTCGAGACTTTTACTTCATTTCCAGATTATACATATAATCTAAGTTAAAGGCCATTTTGGTCGCAAACCAGAGCGCGGCAAAAGCTGAACATTTTTGCAAAGAAAGGTGTAGGAACGGCAGGAAGACGGACGAAAAATACACTAAAATCAGAGCTACGGCTTCATTTTTTACTATGTTTAGAAAACACTTGACCCTATTAAAGCTGAGAGTTTTAGAGAAATTGACCAAAACCCTAATTTTTGCCAGCTTAGTAAATGTGCGTCCTAAAGTGAGTAAATCTCCAGTTCAATAATCTTTAAGTTTACTTAATTACGCTCTCTCTTTAAAAAATCGTATTTTCTAAACTAAGCAGCAATTGGAAATTTTCCCGCTGGATAAAAGACATTTGATCCTAAAGATGCTGAAAGTTTCATGAAAATTGCGAAAAATCCTCCTTTTTACCAGCTTAGGAAATGTGGGTCGTATAACGGATGTTTTTATTCAACTGCGTTTCCACCTTTAAAAATTTGCCACTTCTAGACTGAAGCAAGTATGAATTTGAAATTTTGATCATTTTTAGAAGACACTTGACTGTAGAGATGCTGAGTGTTTCATAAACTTTATCCGAAGTTTACGCCAGTTTAGTAAAAATCGTTGTACCAAAATTTTACTCAACTGCGCTCTTCTATTTAAAAAATCGGATCTTCCATACCAAAGATAGTAGCAACTTGAAAAGTTCACCGTTTTTAGGAGACACTTGATCCTAAAACTGTGGCAAGTTTCGTGAAATTAGCCGAAAATGTTGGTTTTGCAACCTCAGCAAATATCGGTCTCAAAATCGATCCTCCATCAAATTTGCCGAATATTTAGAAAACACTTGGCTCTAAATACGCGGTAAGTTACATAAAAATCACTCAAAACGCTGATTTTTGCCAGCTTGACTAAAGTGGGTCTCAAAATTGATCAAAATCGGTCGACCAGTAGACCTGGTTACTTAACTGCGCTCTTGCATTTAAAAATTCGCATCATTCCAACTAAAGCAAGCAGCAAATATGAATTTTTACAGCATTTAGCAGACTTCGTATGCCAAAGGTTTAGAAAGTTTTATAAAAATCACTTAAAATCCTGATTTATTCCAAGTCAGTAAATGTCAGACTAGAAATCGATATTTTCTCAATCGCGCTCCTCTCTTTGAACATTGGAAAGTTTTTAGCTAAAGTAGCCAGCAGTCTGAAATTTCTACTATGGATAGAGGAGACTTAACGCCAAGGAATCATGAGGTATTATGAAAATAGCCCAGAATCCTGGTTTTTCGGAATTTTCCAAATGTCGGTCTCAAAATCGATGTTGTTACCCACGCGCGCTCTCTCTTTCCGACAGCTAAGAGTTCTAAACTGAAATAGCCAACAAGCTGAATAGCAATTTGCACTGTTTATAGAGGATATGTGGCTCTATATAATTGAAAAATATTATAAAAATAACCAAAAACTCTCATTTTTACCAAGTTGCTAAATGTCGGTCTCAAAATCGATGTTTGTACCCAAGCGTGCTCTCCCCGTCAAACAATCGAAAGTTCTAAACTGACGCAGGTAAAGAACTCAAATTTTGACTATCTATAGAGGACACTTGACTCTAAGGAAGCGCAAAGTTTCACATACAATAACGCAAAATGCTGATTTTTACCAAATTGGGAAATTTTGGTCTAAAAATCGATGTTTTTACCCAAGCGCGCTCTATCATTTAAGTGGTCAAGAGTTCCAAACTAAAGCAGCAAGAACCTGAAATTACTAGCATGTTCAGAAGATACTTGACCGGAAGAAAGGAGAAAGTTTTATAGCAATAGCCCGAAATCCTGATTTTTGCTTTGGTTGGAAAGGAAGTTGGAAAATGCTAGTCTCAAAATCGATGTTTTTGCTCAACCGCGCTCGCTTTTTCAGAAAATTAAAAGTTCCAACCTCAAGCAAGTAAAAACTCTGAAATGCTTACTATGCATAGAGGAGACTTGATTCTAAAAAAGCTCAGAGTTTTATAAAAATCACCGAACACTCAGTTTTTTGCCAAGTAGGTAAATATCGCTCTCAAAATCGATCTTTTTAACTAACCGCGCTCTCTCCTGTAAGCAATCGACAGTTCCAAGCTAAAGCAGGCGGCAATCTAAAAATCTGAAATTTTTACTATGTATAGAGAACATTTGACCCTTAGAAAGCCAAAAGTTTTATGGAAATCGCCAAGAACTCTGATTTTTACCAAGTTGGTAAATCGGTCTGAAAATCGATGTTTTTGCAAAAACGGGCTTCTTTTTAAATTATCTTCCGAAAATTTAAACTGTAACTAAATCACGAACAAATCTGCAATTTTCCTAATGTATAGATAACACTTTATTCTAAAAAAAGTTAAAAATTTTGCAATGCTCACTCAAGATTCAGATTATTAACTTGGTAAATATCGGTTTCAAAATATATTTATTTTGAGCCTATTTAGGTTATTGGGTTTATCGGCCAATAGATAGAGGCAAACAATTGTTCTTGGGCCAACTTTTCAGCTATATTTAAATCATCGTCAGTGCTGTAAAAAGGAAAATAGGGTGGCTTCAGTGTTAAATATTGCAAAAATAATAAAATATTTACATAGTCGTCAATAAAAAAAATAATTGAGTCACATGAAAAGAGAACCTAACAGAAGATTTAAATCAAGTATAAAGGTACAAAGGAGAAGGTCATGCATATTTATCAGTAATGTAAACAAACAAAAACGGAAAAAAAAATTTTACCCAACCGCTTGAACCAACTTCTGAAAAGTCTCATCTGAAAGTTCTCTTATATTTAGAAGACACTTGACACTAAAAGTGCTGAGGGTTTTCTAAAAAACCGCGCCAAATATGAAATCTTGACTGGCTTTGGTATCAGAGTTTAAGTTTCGTCAGAATCGCAGAAACTGAGAAAAAGCAAAAAAATCCAATTCGCATGTACGTAGGCAAAGTAAAGTCTCACAGACCAAGAGAAGGCAACAAATGAAGATATTTCTTTTGCATGCGTCTTCGGCAACAAGCAGAAAAAAATACCTTCAATTCCAATCATTTTGACCGACTTGCCAACGAATTTTATAAAAGAAAATGTGACTTTAAGCAGTCAATACAGCCCTGTTTTCGAATCAGTCAATGTTTTTTGCGGAAACCCTATAATTTTTGAAATGTTATGGCAAAAACAGGTGTACACTTGAAATATTCAAAAAATTGTAAATAACTATCTGAAGTAAGGTCGATAGCAAGGTCGCTTTGAGGCCAGATTTCGTGCAGCTTTTACCAATTCTAGTTCAAAATTGTTTTGACGTTAAAACTTTCGCACATTTGTATTCAATTTATATCATGCTTAACCATTCGAACACCCATGCATCCTGATGGACGCGTGACCAAATAATTCCTATTGTTGTTTTCGGGTAAAACCAGGCAAAACCCATTATGTAAAACATATAGCTGGATAATTGGCGCAAATTGTGACTCAGGCTGATTAATGTTGTTCACTGTCATAGTCCATCAAGAACAACGAACGCACTTTGATCAACACCATCGGAAAGTTTAATGGAATAATTAGTGAATGGATGGAATGAAAGCAAATAATCGAGTGGGTGTTAAATTGCCTTTATTCAGTGCATCGGAAAATTGCTGCTAAATTCGCCAGAGGAGCTGGATGTCTTTCTGCAAACAGAACACCAAATTCAAAATTTTTCGCCAAAGCAAAATTCAATGTTCCGTTAATTGACTTACACTTCGCTGATAGAGAAAGGGGGTTTTGGGTCAGATGGATTAGTTCATAAGGGGTGATTCCATAGAATACTCTGTCGGGTACGACGAATTGTATAATTCTGAGCGACACTGCCAGAACGGTTCTGATCACTCTTCTGATAACGCCAAAGACTGTGTCCAGAACAGTGCGAGGTCCTAAAAAAACTGTGTAGTATTTGCCTTTTCAGCAAAAATACGCATACAACTGCGCAAATTATCAAACTCTTAAGCAACTTCTAGTGCTTCCGTGTCCATCTAAGGGAAGGGCTCAAACGCTCGAAATAACCGTGGTAAAAGTCAAAGTGCTTTGGATATTTTTGCGCAACACTCTGTATATGGGAATCAGTTACCATAGTTGTAGCTCAGTCCGTAGCTTCCATAGTTGCCATATCCGCCTCCATAACTGGGGTAACTTCCATATCCTCCATAGCCTCCCAATCTACCAGACATCAGGCCTGCAAAATTTATTTTTTCAAAAATTGGACTTTAAAGCCCAGTTGCTGAAGCTCCTTACCAAATCGGCTAGTTGCTTCCGAACCGCCGCCTTCAGTGATATCAGATTGAACATCTAAGCAAGTAAAATTATATTTAGTTAATTTATTATTTATTAAATTTTTTTAAATGCATACGCCTTTTCTGTCGGTCAACGATGTCTTCGGTTTGCATGGAAACATCCCCATTGGAGTATGCGTCAGCTGCAATAGTACAATACAATCTATTCAATTTCATTTATTTTGCTTTTAATTTATCTTTTATCCGCTTTTATTGCCAACAGTTTGAATGCCAATTTGAGTTAAAGGCGAAAGCTACAGTTTAGAGAATGAAGAGAATCTAAGAAACTAATACAAAATGAATTTAAAATGAAGTAATTGAAGGTTGAAAAATTTGGATTTAGATAGTCAAAGAAAATAGTTTAACAAAATTAAAAACTCTTAGAGAAAAATTCAGAGTTTGTTAAAACAATTACAAAAAAAAACGTGAACTTTTTGAGAAAACTTTAATACTCTTTACCTGCATATTTGTCCTGATAGAGGAATTGGGCGGAAGTACCAGCCAAGAAGAACGGCACCAAGTAGATGAGAGCTTTGGCAACCATGGTCGATTTCTTTGTTTTTGCTTAGGGTTTTCCGACTTAGGAAACTGATATACCAAAAATTAAGTCGTACCGGTATTTATACTGTTTTTTTTTTTTAATTAATCACGCGAGCAGTAAAATCATGTTATACGACTTTGCTTGAAATAATAAAATTTCGTAATTTCAATTAACATTAAAACTGCAATAGTTTTAGTGATAACAATACCCAATTAAACATTGAGAGATATTTTAAAGCCAATCGGACAAGTTTCTAGATTGTCAGGTCAAAACAACAGCAATAATGCGGACTCTGAAACTGCATTTTTTGCACGGGTGCAAACTCAATTTAAGTTATCCAGATTTTTTCGGATCAGAAATACTGGGTTAGAAGTATTTTTATATTAAAATATCATAACGTCAGTAGAGGATATTTTGGAAAATTGGCAGCTTTGGAAAACAACAGCAAACATTACTATCTAATCGGGAGTTAGATTACTAGTTTTTTTGTATCATAATAAAAAAATCGCTCACTGTATTCTAGTCTAGAAAGTGGCCGTAATTACTGCACCAAATCAATCAGGGTCATTTATTTACTCGATTTGTGACGAGTATTTCAAAAAGAATAAGAAAAGTTTCCCGGTGGAAACATAAGAAAAGTATACAATAGATCCTCCCCATTCCCCCTAAAATTAGGTTTACATTATTTAAGGTGCAAAAAATTAATATTCTCTAAAAAAGGAGGGAATTGCAAATTTTCAAAATATTTGATCCGTAACTGTCCCCGATAGCGCACAAATATTACAGTAATATTTTTTTGAAATATTTAATGTAGATCTGACGCGACAGATTCTTATATATTTAAGAAATATTTTTTTTTAATATTTATTTGACATTTAAATCAGATATTTAAGAAATATTTTTTAAAATATTTATTTGACATTTAACTCAGTTACTTAAAAAATATATATTTTTTAATATTTATTTGACATTTATATCAGATATTTAAAAAATATGTTTTTTAAATATTTATTTGACATTTATATCAGATATTTAAAAAATATATTTTTTACATATTTATTTGACATTTATATTAGATATTTGTTTCATTAATATTAATTAACAACCACCCCTTGGGTATTCAGCCAGGTCGATTTTTTAAATAGTGCAATATTTTTGTCAACTCGATGATACTTTTTGATCTGCATGTGCACGGCTGGGGATTCGAACTTCGGACTTTGAGTTGGTAGGTTATTTTCCTGAGTGTGTAATGATTATTATAATTTTCCTTCCTAGGTTCCCTAGGGGACAACAGCGCCATCATCAGATTAAAATTCAAAACAAACCCATAATTGGGAAACATTTGATTCTTTATAGGCTTAGCTGTCTTCAAAATTTCATGTTTGTTTGAATTATTCTAATTCAGTTAAGTAATACTGTTATATGAAATAGACACGATATTTTTATTTATTTTCGACAAATTTTGTTAGTCTGGTTTAATAAACACCATATTTTCAGCATTTAATAAGGGTCTCAGGTGTTAGTAGTAAAAGAGAATTTACTTTCACGTACCCTTACTTTTCTGCTGCGAAATTTATTTTCGACCAATTTTTCTATATACCGTGGATATACAATAAATATTAATAATTAAAAAATATTTATTTTTGCTGTAAACTATTTACCATTAAGTGACTAATGAAAATTGAGATAATATGTTTTAAAGTTTGTTCACAGTTATTAAAAATAATATATTAGTAACTTTTTGGGAGTTAATGGTGTTATATATAGGTACAAAAGTATTATGTACTAAGAAACATTATTATTAATTTATTTGTTTCATGCCAATTAAATATTAAAAACAAATATTGTTTTATAATATTTAAAAGGTATTGTCTTTTGCTATGAAATATTTACCAAACATATAAACATTTGGTAAATATTTAGTAAATATTTATGTAATATTTTGTGCTATCTGGGGTAGTTACTATTAGAGATAATGATATTTTCTTGCTTAAATTACTATAATTATACCTCGAAACGGGTGCATTTTAAGACACATGGTTATAGGAAGAAAATGTATACTAATTATGAAAAAAAACTCGAATGTAAATTTTATTTTTGCTTCTAAACCCTTAAGGGTCTTTACCCCTAAACTTATAGTTGAAAAGTATTTAGATTCTCTGCATGGCCACAGAAGATATCATGTCTATCCTGAACTGTTTTCGAAATATTAACGTTTGAAAATAGCGATCTTTTCCTTTCGGAGAACTTTTCATGTAGAGAAATATGGAAAAAAACGCATAATGTATGTACTTTATTTTCTACACACACACTTTATTTCTTTATTAATTGTGAATTTAAATTATAAAATAAATTAGTTGATTCTTTGGCTAGCTTGAAAAAATAGAAATAACACACTTTCAATCAGTTAATCCTAGACTTCAACGCAACAAGGGTGATTTCTTGAAGTTTGAAAGGAAAAAAGCGTTTTTGCTTCGCGGCGTTTAGCACCTTCAAATTAAAAGTTCCTGAACATGAATAATTTACTCTTGATAGTTGAGAGATTTAATCCAAATAATTAACAGTTTTTGAGACCGAGAATTAACTTTTTGACCATATTCCTGCCAATATGAAGAGCAGCAGAATAGAGGAAGAAAACTTGAGAATTTTTCAGCCCTTAGACTGTCGTGGAAAAGAGCAAAAAGGCGCAACACCAGCTCTGAAGATTGCCATTCGTGCATGTGAAACGTTGGGAAGAAATTAATTTCCCCAAACGTCATCACTCCCCAAAACTCTGCAGTTTCAAAATGACGAAAAAGCCTTGAAAAAGCAGCAATTTGTAGACTTTTTGGGTACATTTTTTGCGGGAAAAATTGTGTGGATACAAAGGAAACGAATCGTTTAGCATACTGGTATTTATTGCTCCAAATAAGTTCATTAAACACATATATTGAGGATATTATTTCATCCAGTCCCAGTCCAAAGGCCGCCTAGTTCTGGAACATGTTGAAGGGATTAGTAATGATGCATCTTGGAAGATTCATGTTCATGGATCGCATGATCTGGAAAAATCACACAGACACTTAGATTTAGGGAAAGCTTTGAAGTCTTAAACTCTTACAATGTTTTCCTGCGGATCTGGACCCAACAGCTTCTGCAGAATGCAGGGTGTGATGGGCATTACCTGGAAAAAGGCCCAAGTTGATGTTAAAGACAAAGAAACCTTTGAAGCTTACCATGAGGGTGAATCAGATGTTCGAGTCCATGGGCTGCAGCAACTGTAAAACCAAAAAAACATCAGAACTGCGTTTCCAGTTAACAATGTCATAAATCAACCTCTTTGATGGGCTTCCAGCAGTTCAAGTGCATGTCCGGCTGTGAGAGTTCCAGCTCTGTGAGCGGCAGCGGCTGCAAACAAAAGCAAACAAAAATTATTTTAAAAAAATGTTGTTTGGCTGTTAAATACCTCGGTGATGGGTGTTCAGCAGATGGTGAAGACTGGCTCTCTTGTGCTCCTCATGAGATATTGGCCAATACCTGGAAGCATGGCCAGAATGCTCGGAACTGCTACCAATATCTGGAAGCGACGAAAATGGTTAATAGGAACAGGAAAATTTGGGGAATCCTTACTTCTTCTGTGGATGTTTTCCAAGTGATGAATGGAATCTGATGAAATTAAAAAATATTGAAAAGAGCGACGCTGGCAAAATGTCGAAAAGTACCTTTTATTTCGTATTCCGCCCTTGCCAGTTCTTCGGAATTGGTGTGCGCATGATGCTCGTGAGCTGTAAGCAGAAATATTAAGTAAACAGTTTTTTTCTGTAAAGAAACGTTGTTAATTTTTGCAATATTTATGATAACTCGGTTCAAAGGAAGGTAAATGAAGAATGGAAAACCGCTGGAAGCTCTTGATCCAAAAGACGCAAGTCGAAAGGAAGGACAAACTAAATCCCAATCAGCATATTCCAACTATGTACCTCTATCTTCCAGTAGGAAGTTGGATGATGTGTCAGATCCAGAAAGTGGACTTTTACGGTTTGACGGTTTACGCTTAACCAAATGGTATCTAGTCGTCCTTTCTTTGGGCCATTCCACGTCAACTGCAGCATTTAGTTGGGCTGAAATAATCTTCAAAAGTACTGAAGAGTTGAAAACACTGACGAAGATGTTATGAGGGAAATGACGAAACAAAGCTGGAGAATTAGTGAAGAACCGCGTGAAGCTAAATTGGATCGAATGAAGCAGCAAATCTGTCTGAGATTGTTCAGGAATGAAAATCTAGTAAAAACAGCAATTGAAAAGTACAAATAAATAGAAAAACTCTTACCATGCCCATAGTGGTTGGCAAAGGCAGCAGCCAAAAGAGCTGAGAAAGTGACCAAAAGTGTGAAGCTAGACATGTTGCTGAACCAGAACTGTGATACTGAAAACATCGATGTTGAGGCGATATTTATATGAAAATTTTGTTAATTAAATTTCTATTTTATGGTCGTTTTTACTGCTCAATAACTCCATAATGGCTTAACACATTTTTTATGTTTATTAAATTTGTATTGTTTCATTCATAGATGATTTCAATTGGTTTGGCAGTAAATTCTCGAAGGTTTTAATTGAATTCGGCAATTGTTTTTTAAATGTTTTTTTGTTCCTATCTTGGGAATTATCGAGGAAAATATTTATTGAAACTTTCCAGCAGTAATTTTCAGTAAAATTGGTTTTTCATTTAAAACTATCGTCGCTTGACTTTGTCACACTTGTGGTGAAAATTTGAAATCGTTAGTTTTTGTGGTTGAGAAGAGAAAACTTTTTGCTTGTCCGCGTCGATAACTAACCTTTACTCATTGGATTTTACCAGAAATTCCTAACCTTGAAAAAGCTAGAAGCACAAATATGAGATGGACAAGTCTTTTAGGTGCAACCACTCATATCTCAAACACGTTTCAAAATTTGGGCGTAACAGGATATTTTTAAAAGAGCCTCTTCTTAACTGCCTTTTACTAATTAGTTTTAATCAGGAATTAAAAAACCTTTAAATTTTTAGAGACACAAATATGAGAAAGAACAAGTCTTCTGAAGGTTCAACCACTCAAGTCGGGAAAACGGTTGAAAATCTCTGATGTTAATAGAATCCTTTCAAAGAGCTGTCTATTGCTGCATGGCTTTATCAGAAATTCATAACCTTTAAAAACATACAAGTGAAAATGTCCATATTGAAAAAGCGGCCAAATTATAACCTCTTTTATCTCGGAAACGGTTTGAAATATTTAAATAAATATTTGGACCGTTTCAATTGAGCCACTAAGGAATTGTACATTTTCCAGTTAAACTTTTTCCAAAAATTCTTAACCTCTAAACCGATAGAAGGAAAAATGTCAAACATTTAAGAGACCGTCAACATTGAAAGTTTTCTACTTTGGAACGGTTATAAATTTTCACATTGTGTAAAAAAATGTTCTCTAAAACGTCTAGAGAGCTTTTGTTCCTAGAATTAGAACAAAGAAGGAAAAAACATATTGCATGATATTGTCGATTTGCAGAGCTTCTAAGTAAAAACAGTTCAAAATATGGGACAGCGTAACAGGATATTTCTGAAAGAGCGTCTTCTTAACTGCCTTTTAGTAATTAATTTTAATTAAGAATTCCTAACCTTTAAGTAGTTAGAGGCACAAATATGAGAAACAAGTCTTTTGAAGGTTCAACAACTCGAATCGGGAAGACGGTTGAAAATCTCTGGCAAGTTAATAGAATTCTTTCAAGGAGCGTATATGTGTGTATATGCCTATAAAGAGCACTTCCTTATAGCATGGGTTTTATCAGAAATGCATAAGCTTTAAAAACATACAAGTGAAAATGTCCATAAAAGCGACTAAATTATAAACGCCTCCATCTCGAAAACGATTTGAATTATTTAAATAATTATTTGGATCGTTTCAATTGAGCCCCTAAGGAAGTGTACATTTTCCAGTTAAACTTTTTCCAAAAATTCTTGACCTCTAAACCGAAAGAACGAAAAATGTCAAACATTTAGGAGACCGTCAACATTTAAAATCTTCTACTTTGAAACGACTGTAAATTTTGACATTGTTCAAAAAAAATCTCTAAAACGTCTAGAAAGCTTTTGTTCCTAGCATTAGAACAAAAAAGGAAGCGAAAGAAGGAAAAAACATCTTGCATGGTAATGTCGATTTCCAGAGCTTCTATCTCAAAAACGGTTCAAAATATCTAAATAGGCGTTAAGACCTTTTCGATAGAGCGCCCCAAGAGTTAGCCTTTAATGCTTAGACTTTATCAGAAAATTCTAACCCCTAAAAAGATAGAAGGAAAATTGTCCCGTTGAGAGAGACCGTCAAAGTTTAAAAGCGTATATCCCTGAAACGGTTGAAACTACATGACTAATAATTCGGATGTTTTTGATAGATTTACTAAAGAACTGTCTTTCGCCAAAGAAACTCTTTGAAAACTCCTAACCTATAAAATGTAATAAGGAAAAAGAGTAACTTTTATGGTACTGTCGGTCAAAAACGACTGAAAATATCTAATAACCGATTGCTAATTTTCTAGTAGATATCTAGTGTTCATATTTAATTAGTTTTGAATTTTTTTACAGTTTTTATCTATTTTTTTATTTAATTTTCTTTAAATCTTCCCTTACACTTTATGCATATTTAATAATTGTTTAGCAATGTTTTACGTTTAGTTAAAGTTAAATTTTTCCAGCTTTTTAATCCCTGTTCATGTAGAGCTTTTGCATATTATTTCAATTAGTCGAATGAATTGTGACTTTATCAACTATATTTAATCAAACTTTATCGGCAAATAAAAAAATAACTCAATTCAGCCTAAAATCAATTAATCTTGATGAAATTCAACGTTACAATAAAGAACACTTAAATATTCTGTCGCAATCAAAATCTGAGCAATAAATTGGAAAACAATTTATAACTTCAATAAAAAATCAGCATTAAACACAATGAAAACATTCGTTGTCGGCAAAAGCAACGATGGCAATCGCAAAATTTGTTATCCTGACCATTTGCGTTCTACAGAGCCTCGCACGGCCGGAAATTGAACCAAGTAAGCCTGAAGATCACTATTACGTTTATTTATACCGAAAATTTTCCAATTTTCCTGAATAGTTAACGCCATGTTTGCCTGTGGTTTATTTTAAACCACAGGTGGTGGTTTAAAGCCTGCTTTGCAAATATATCCAATCTAAAAACACTGTTGTAGATTATGAGAAGAGAATAAAACGTGCTTCTGAGCTAAGGGGCGAAGAAGCTGAAACTGATGCGGAAGGTAATACGAAATAGCTGCTCGTTCTGAGCGCTCAGAACTCAACGACTTTTAATTTGCAGCTGCCAGGTTCGATTTCGTGGAATCCGATGAGGACTTGGACAGTTCATTCGACCCATATTTGGGAGGTAAATGAGCGTAATTGTTTAAAGTTATTCAATCGACTGGAGATTTTGTTAAAACATTCAATTACAGAATTCGTAGAAAAATTTCCTTTAATGCTATTTTCATGCTTATTTCCAGCTGTTACTACTTCGTTTAATCAAAAACCCAATTCTGAAGTCGAGCCCAACGAAGCCCAATTCGGCTCAACTCAAAATCGAGGAATTAGTAAGCAATTAATACGAAACTGCACTCGGGTAAAAAAACGTTGATGTTTTCAGATCTTCGCAGCTTAATCTCGGCAAAACCCGGCGCTGAAATCCAAGAAAAACCTTCGAATCCTTCCACTAATCTGCCCGAGACCAACTCGCAGGCGGATGGTAATTCTCAAAATTCAGCCTCAAAGTTTCGTTAAAAAATCCTCAATTCTTTCAGGTTTGGCAAGAATTGAGAATGACGACCAGGTGGAAGAGGCAGCTGTAAATACAGGTCTGAATTCTGCTTAAAACACATTCTTGTCTCAAGTTATTTTTCATATTTTTCGCTTAGATTCTTCATTTATTTACAACCACTTGTGATTTTATTGGGAATAATATCGATTTTTGTTCAGTTTCGTCTCGCATGGTAAAAGAATGACCCCCATTTTGGCAAATCCTATCCGTCGTTTAACTGATTATGTAATGTGGATTTCAGCCAAATTCAGCAAAATCTCAAGCAAATTGCCATCGCATAATCAACAAAGCCCATCCAGAATTGTAACAATTGGCTTTAAAAATGCAATATAAAATATTGAAAATTGCCGTAAAACTTGAAGATTTTAACTAAAATTAATGACATTTTCTATTAGCAAACAAAATTCAGTTAACTAAGTAATTAATTGTAGGCCTCCGCAGCTTACCGTCAAAAAATACTGGCGAAGCAGAAAATGGTAAGTTATACAAAAGTTAGTTAATCAATCTTCTAACCACGATCATTTTGCAGAACTTCCTAGCAATTTCGTCGACAAAAAAAGCTTGGAAGAGTTATTGAAAAAAGGTAAGAACTCGAAGCGACGCACAGTTTGACGCGGACAGCTTCGAGAAGAAATCCAGCCTATCCTAGACAATTCTTTTAGCTCTAGCACCTCTGCTTGCAACCATCAGAAGCATTCAAGATCCGCAAGTGCGATCCCTCCTTGGAGCGATAAAAGCCCCAATCAACGTAGTAAAGAATGTGGGAGAGGGTGCATTCCAAATAGTCGAAAGTTTCGTGAAAGAGCTGTTAACCCACATTGGCCGCATTCTGCATTGGATCCTCCCCAGTTGGATATACCAAGCCATAATCCCTAGGGAGATTGTGAGGTTGGTCGAAGAGGAGAGCGAGATGAGAAGGATGAGGCTTGCTGCCAGAGCCTATGAGGTTAGAATTGACAATTGGCTTTTAATTCATCTGCAAATTTAAATTCGTTTTCTTCATCTTTATGATTTTTTTACAATTTTAATGTTTTAATGGCATTTTCAGGTTAATTTTGGGCGGCCCATTCAGCAAATGTCCAATGGGGCTCCCATGGAACTTCCTGTTCAGTACAGGCAACAACTCAAATATCCAAGAGTTTCCACTCGTATGCATGGAAAGCAGAATAGAGTAGAATAAACTTGAATGTATTCAAAATATTTTTAATAAAGTTGTTGCATATTTTCGCTTTATTTTATTTTAGCTGAATCCTTATGGAAACTCACTATTTGCTGCGGAAATTTTGTGGCGTTTATTCACGCATATTCAAACAGATTGCTAGTTTTCATTAATTTCAATGTCTTTTGGTACACCGCTGAGCTTCCAGTATGTTTCTTTTGCGTTATTTTTCTCATGGCTTGAATTTCCTCATTTGCAAGTTATGCATTTTTTTGCCTAATTATGAGGATTTATTCCTGTTTGTTATGTAGTTGCGTCTGTAGTTTATCAGCAGGTTTTCCCCTTTAAAAGAAAAATATTAAAATATATTTGCGCCCTATATTTTAAAAATTTGCTGCGACCAAACCAAATGAGGTCAGAATCTAGTCGCAGCATCTATAGAAAATATATCACTATTACAACGGCAAAAGTTTCATAAAAATCGCCCATAATACTGATTTTTGCCAGCGCCGTAAACGTGGCTCTGAAAATGGAGGTTTATACACAAATGCGCTCTCTTTTTTTTTTATTTCTTTGGACCGGACTAAAGGAAATCAGAATATGAAATTCGCATCATCTGTAGAAAATATTTGGATCTTACGCTGACAAAAGCTTCATAAAAATCGCCCAGAATAATGATTTCTGCTAGCATCGCAAACGTGGCTCTTAAAATGGATGTTTTTACACAAAAGCGCCCTTTCTCTTAAAAATGTATTTAAACCAGACTAATGGAGGTAGAAATAATATCAAATTCGCACCATCTATAGCACATGTCTGAGTCTAACAATGGCAAAAGTTTCTTATAAATCGGCCATAATTCTGATTTTTGCAAGAGCCGTAAACGTGGCTTTGAAAACGGACGTTTATACACAAATGCGCCCTTTTTTTATTTCTTCGGACCAGACTAAAGAAGGTTGAAATATGATTTTTTTTTTCTATAGCAAATATATCACTCTTACGATGGCCAAATTTTTATAAAAATGACCCATAATTCTAATGTTTGCCAGCGTCGTATACGTGGCTCTGAAAATGGAAGTTTATATACAAATGCGCCGTCTTATTTTATTTCTTCGGACCGGACTAAAAGAGGTACAAATATCAAATTCGCATCATCCCTAATCTTAATCTTATGATGACCAAAGCTTCATAAAAATCGCCCTTAATCCTGATTTTTGCCAGAGTTGTAAACGTGGCTTTGAAAATGGACGAAGATGATTCCCGGAAATATTCTGAGCTCAGTCTTAACTCAATCAACTTTCTGAGCAACGAACACCAAGTTGTGATATTAAAGAAATCCCTTGTGCAAAAACCCCCATTAATTTCAATACATACGTTATATGAGTCGATAAAACAGCGGTAAATTTTAATTAAATTGCCGATAAATCCAATACATATGCGAACTTGCGCGAAACAATACGTGTAATCATGCTACCGGCTCAGAAGATGCTCATCTGGTTGCTCGCAGCTGTGGCCCTTGTTTCCGCTCAGTATGAAATTTCTGGTAAGCTCCCCTGATCCTTTCAACCCGATTATTCCAGATCATATCCAACGATTGCAGATTCTAATGCCCAGACGGCGTCTGGGGGTGTTTTCTCCACACTATTTGACGGTATATTGGGAGCGCCCTTCTCTCTAGTGGAGAGTATCATCAGAAAGCTCATTGTAGCAGCAATGGAAGTTATTGCAACCATTCTACCCAGATGGGTGTTGGAAAGGGCTATTCCGATGCCCATTTTGGAAATGCTGGATCAGAGCCAGACGATTTTGGGAGGAACTAGGGTGAGTTAACTGGTTTGGCTCAAAAAGTTTTTGATTTAAATTGAATTAAAATGTTGTAGGACTATGGCGACACTCTATACCGAAGTGCGTATCGCTCAGCAAATAAAGCATACAACTGATCCATTAGAATATTTGAAATCTCATTAAATCGCGGCTGCTAAGTTCTAGTTTATTGATTTTTGTCCAAAATATCCTCAACCCTCAGATAAACTAATAAATTTGTGGGGTTTTTCGAATGTTGCAGTCGATTACACTTAGTTAATCTATGATTACACCCCGTAGCAATTCCACTAGTCATCCTATAACTTGCCCTGCAGGTAAGAGTGAGACCAACATAGCGAATGGCATGGAAACAAATGTGTCCTTGTCACGCTTTGTTGATATACCAGGGTCAATCATTTACTACTTCAATTTGCTAATTCATTCATTAATCATCCAAGTAATTAAGGTTTAGAATAATGTATTTAAAGACAGTAAAGTTGTGAAAAATTCTATTTTCAACACGTTTATATTAAAGTGCTACAAAAATGGCTGAGGCAAGTGGGATTTTCAGGTCATTTTCGCTTAAAATCTATTCTATCTTCTTCCTGGGTAAATAGCATCGGAGTCATCCTCTGTCTCCTGTCCAGTAATCACTTTTCTTATTGCGTCTGCCCTTTTCTTTCCCCTTTGAATAATGCCCTCTAGTACCCTACCAGGAAATCTGATAATTTCTGTAAGAAGACTGCTGGAAAAAATCTAGATTATCTGCAGAAATTTGCCAGAAAATTAACATTACTTGTCCGATTCTCGCTTCATTCTGTTAATGGTGTTTAGGTCTTGTTCCTCAGTTTGAGGATTTCTCAGATAATCAGATGTAAAATGATTAGCTGTTTGATAAATCCAGCCAGCTACTGTAGAGGTTGCTTTGGCTGCCAACATGCCCACAAGAGTGTCCATTAGCACAAAACGTCGTTTTCTACTCACAATCCTGGAAGAGAGCTATTGAAAATCCCTAAACACATCTAGTGTGGGAAAATGTGCTTACTTTTTCCCCTCAATTTCTACTTCACTGTCATCAGTTTCCTCAAACTCCTCAAGACTGGGTGGGGATAGATCCGGAACTGTTAGGAAGTCCCCAATGGATTTTCTGGCAAGATCGATTTTCAATTTAATGGCACGAAGAATCTCCTCACCATTTCCGCTACAAATAAGTGCCGTCTTGCAAAATCCGCCACCTTAAACCGTTAGCCTTACTTGTACGGCAAGAGTTGTCGTTTGAAGAGAATCGCTTCTTCAAACCATTTCTTCAGCTGAATGGAAATCGCTTCGAGCAACTCCCTCAAAAACATTTTAATGACTTCGAATTGATCTTCAGCGCTCCTTCTTTGCCTGCTTAAAGCGGAAGAAATCCTCTGCAAGCCCAAGTCGACGTTTTGCCCCAATTCTTGGATCGTGCGCCCGATCAGCTCTTTTGTATTGGCCAGCACTTGCAAGGTACCATTTTCCATACCTTCAATGAAGATGTTCAAGGATGTTTTGCCTTCAGTTTCTTCACCACTACAATATGCTCATTAGGTGCTAGATGCGCTTAGGGTTTGAGAAACGGCACTTACTCAATGTCCCTTTTCCTTCTCAATGAAAATATATCAGTTAGATCAAAGACCACATCCAGAATTTCCGATACACTTTCAGTTAAGTTAGTGAGGCCATTTAGTCCCTTCACCAGAGGGTTTGCAGTAGTCGCATTGCTAGAGGGAGGTTGGGGGTCGTGCTGGACTGGGTTACTAACATCTTTTGGTTCTGTAGTCTCCCTTCTCCAGATAAATTTAACTCTCAGATTTTCACTGACCCACTACAGGAAATATAAATCTACACTCACCCTTCTGAGGATCTACGTCCTCTTTCCAGTCTGTACTTGTAGACTTGCACAAGACGAGGGATTTCTTGCAGAGTTTTCAACACTTGCCCCTTCACCTTCTCAGTCACATCCAAAATGACTCTTTTCACTTCAATCAAGGTCCGATCCAGTGAGGACTTGAATTGCGCAACACTGCCCAGAGGGTCATTGAAGATGTGCCGGATTATGTATAAAACCTTTTTTAAAGCGGATAAGATGGTTTGCACCGCTTCTTTGCCCTGAGGGCTCAAGGATTGGAAAATGTCGCTGACTATGAATTCGGTATCCATCAGAAATACTACCAGCAATTGTTTAACTTCTTCTAGATACTCTAAAATTGGAATGCCTGGTGTGCTTCGTCTGATCCTCTGAACCGTCTGGCTGGAATTGTCGAAGCTGGATTTTTCGGGGTGTTTTCAATCTCTGAGTGAAAATCCAACTTACTTGGTATCCTCTGAGGCTGTTTCGGATGGATTTAAACCCTCAGAAGCCATCGCAAAGGCCACTTTCACAGCTTTCCTGGCCGCATCCAAACCCGCGTTTATTAAGCTTTTGGTTCGGTTAACTAAACGGCTGTTGATATTTTGAACCAGGCCTACAAGCTCTTCGAAGGTTGTTTCTGGATTTCTGCAAACACAGTTTTTAGAAGCTACCGCCGCTGGGTTTTCCCAGGAGACTCACTCATCTTCAACGTTTCGCCTGAATCTGTAAAGGTCATCATCATCGTCATAGTAATAGTCGTCCTCATCGTCGTCATCTTGACAGTTTTTGCATAAGCTTTCGCTGATATTATTCACCTTTTCCACCATGATTTTCACCTTTTTTGCCAGTTCGCCTGCTGCTTTGGGTACTGACAGCACTTCCTTGAGCTTTTTCAGATAGTCGTCCAATCCAGAGCGTTTCTCTTCTTTATCTATGGAGCGTTTTTCTCTGATGATTCCACTAAAATTAGTCAATTTTGGAGGTTTCGAGGTGTTGACGATGGAAGAGATTTTATTTTAAGTAGTGATGGGCGAAACGGCACTGGACCGGCTCTTTTAAAAGATGCTACAGGTAATAATATTTCTGCTTATGTGCATGGTCAAAGGAAGCTGCGGTCAACCCTTAGACAAGGAAAGAGCATCCCTTCCTCAGGATCTTTAAGACAACCCGACGAGCCCATCACTATCTAAAAGAAAACTGTCTCCGTATGAAAATATACTAACGGAAGTTCTGAAGATGAAGGTTTCTTCGTTGGTTCAACTGAAGCGTTGGATGATTCCGTATCTAAATTGAAGAAATTGGGTTCAAATTGCTTGGCTTAAAAACATCTAGAGCGCAGACAAGTTATAAAAGTGGTTCGTGATGTTAAGCCTTGATCAGATAGTTAGACTTGTTGCGATAAATTTGCGTCCTAAAGTTGCCCATTATTAAACTGAATTGCATCCCAAAGTACACAGCTGAAATAATAAAAATCATCCCTCCCTGGTATGTACACAAAAAATGACACGGATGGGCTGGTTCCCATGGCAAGCGCTATGTTTGTCTCCCTCTTGACTGCAGAGTCATCTCTTTCGAATCCAGCCGGTTTGCTACGGGGTGTAATCAATTGCAATGGAATGTAAAATTGAAATAAGCAAAGTTATAAAATAGTGAAAGTAGTGGAAAATTAATTAAAAAACAGTGCTGACAAATGTGTGTGAAAAGTGAAATAAGTGTGTGTGGGCTGGAAAAAGTGGTGCTGTGTAAGGTGCAAGAGAAAAGAATCACAAACATTTAAAGATTTATTGAGCAGCGGATGAATCAAAACAGGTCGCCAAAGCCGGAGACGAATTTTGCGACGGACATTCTATGGGGCGCATTTTCCTCCAGATTGATGCCAAATGGTTTCAATAACTTTGTGACAACCGTGTCCACCATTCTGAAAACCTTCTCCATATTCAACATCTTCACAGCTGGCAGAATAAGGTGCCTGATTTTTTTGATGATTTTAGCGACAAAATCTTCAATAGATTTTATAATCTTTTCCAACTTTCCACCAATATTGAAATTTTTCACTCTTGTGGAAATGCTTCTTAAAGGCCAGCTGTCTATACCTGCATTTTCCACGCTGGAACTGGAAGATCTGAAAGAAAGAACAGTTTTCATGGGTAATTTGATAGAAAATTGCTGGTCTAGATAGCTGATTAAATTTTCGGATGAGCCCGACTTCAGTGGCTATAGACAAAAAATTACTGTTTTTGTGCGAAAATTTTTCAATTCTTCAAACAATTAAAATTAAAAATTATTAAATTATTATTATTTATTAAAATTACCGTTTGCTCCTCCAATTGTTGAGATATGGAACAACTGCGTCTTTGATATCGCCAATAGAGGTGCTTGCAGAAGTCAGCGATTCCAAATGCTCCTCAATGTCCGCAAACTCCAGTTCACCAATGGAACCTCCTGGAAAAGTTACAATCTTTTTCACAAGTATTTATTTAAACAACAACGCGCAGAAAATGGAGTAATGCGTTATGTACACTAGCCGTTCTGTTTGCTTGGAAAACCCCTGAAACTGTGCATTTTTTGCTTAAATCTGATTATTTTATTCATCGACTTGCCGGTAACATGGTTAAGTTTTTTTACTTACCATACGAAGCTGCAGCGATCGCACTCAACCCAATCCCGATCAACAACAGAAAACCGACGTGTTTGGCCATTTTCAGTGTATTGACTGCAGACTTTTAGAAAATTGCGCCCTATTTGATGGTTTTAGCGTCGGAAAAAATTAAGTCTTTCCACGTTTTCCATTATAATAAACAGTGATAAAATCAAAAACATATCAATTTTTTATGTTTATTAGGTCGTATTGCTTTAATGGCTTTTTTAACGAGTTCAGGTTTGATAAGGAAATGCGTCTTTCAAAATCCGCAATGCCAAGCAATCAGCTAATAAACCACAAAAATTATTTTTCACACGTCAGTGTATATGGAATTTATTGTTAACCCCCGGTATCAAACACCCTACTCCATTAGCCTTCTTTGTCCAAGCGCATTGGTTGACTGACAGGTTGCCATAGAAACCATGGCGGGGAGTTCAAATATTTCGATATACCAGGGTTAATCAGCTGGAAAAATCTTTAGAAGACCTCAAGTCGCACACACCAACTATCCGTTTTTTTTTTCGAACAATTTCCGACTCGTTCTTGGGTTGTTTTATCAATAAATGTCCACGTCTGGGGGGGGGAGGTTTCCATAGAAGCATGTTGTTTACCATCTTTCACCTCTTTAGTGTCAAGATCAGTATTCGAATAATTCAGCGGTATGAAAGATTGCGCAAAACATCCAGCTAAAACAGATTCGCTGGAAAGTTTGCAGGCAAAATGCTGGCAGGAGACCTACAAGGGCGAAAGCCGAAAGTGGCTGATTCGAGATGCGTCTGGAAAATCGCCTCAAGGGCCACTGTGTTCTACTATGAAGGAAACTTACGTTTCTCCCAGTAAAGAAGAAAGTGAAAAGAATATGGGTGAGAATAAAGCGGTTTATTGGGGAAATTTGACGCGATTTTGAGTGTTACTGGGGATTTTTCCAGGTAAACGAAAAGAGTATCTTCTAAAGAAATTCCATGAAGAAGCGGCCGCAGAATTGAAGCAGTCTGAAGACATTCAACAAACCAACGACTACTGTACAGAATACGATGGGAATTTTAAAACTAAAGGGTTTCAACCAGATGATCAGTTTTACATGAAGGACACTGAGGTATAAATTACAGAAAAATGTATTTAACAATTTTTCCATTCAACCGCATTCTTCGACAGCAATTCAAGGAATTTCCTCTGTATTCGTCGGCCCCACTCACATACTACAGCTACAATCAACAGAAGAATCCTAAGGATATCCTGCCTGGTCTTACAAGGATTACTGATCCTCAGAGTATTTTCAAGAGAAACGGCCAATTCAGCAAACCAATAGCAGAGTCGCTTGACTATGTCGAGCTGTAATGAAATAAATAATGCAATTTAAAAAAATATATGTGCGTATACGGGGTGATCTAATTTTTTTCACAAAAATTAATAGCGAATAGCGAAAATACGTTGAAAAGTTCCTATAAATTCATGTGGGCAATTGCTTTGTTGCAGAGGTTCGAAAATGTGGGTATTTAGATTTTTCGTTCTAATTCTTCACATGAAAATTTGGATTTAAGTTCCATTCTATGATCTACATGGCTTTATTTAGCAAGTTTGTTTCATTGTACTTGCAGAGTGCTGCTCTTTTACTGGTTGGGTTTATTTACTACTGCAAACTTTTTTCTGGTGTATCTCTGGAATTTAGTCACACCTTTTTTAATTCCTTTTTCAAATTAGAAACATTTTAATCTCTTGTATTTTATTCGCACCTTCCACTCTTTTCGAGTTATTTGCATAATATCGAAACAATGCACACTATGTAATTTTGCCAGAAATCCATATCTGGTTATTCTGGTTTTATTATCTTGGAGAGGTTAACCACCTGATTCATTTTGCCAACTAAAATTTGATCATGCTGTATACGCGAATATACGTATTACGTCAGCTGCTGAATTTTAACCGTTTTTCGTCAGTAGGTACTCGTGGATCGCGTCACAGTTTCGATAAACCGCGCCCAATAAAACATTGTCTCCCAGACATTGATGACAGTGACGTTAATCAAAGTTTCTACAGATTTCTCTTGATTCTTCGTGTTTTGGGGGGTGTTTTGTCCGATTACACCTCATTTGGGTTCAAGCTCGCCAGTGTTTTCCCCTTGTGAATAACAGGGTTGATTTATGTGGGCGGACTGCAAGCAGCGTGTCTAGTAAATCCGTTGATAATGATGGCCGAATCGGACACAACCTCAGAAGCCATCAAAAGGCTGAACGTTAAAAAACAAACTCTGGATGATGCTTACGCGGCCCCTGCTAATTTTCTGGAAATCGACGTCGTTAATCCGGTTACCACCATTGGGGTGGGCAAAAAACGTTTCACTGACTATGAGGTGAAAATGAAGGTACGTTTTAACCAACCATCTATAAGTGTATTGGGGCTGTTCCTTCAATAACAGCCAATCAGGGCCTGATAAGAACAGTGTTTGCTCTTCATTTCCTTTCCATTTATTTGCCTGATAACCTTAAGTCAATGAGCTTCTTTAAAGTGTCTATGAAGTCGTTTGAATCATGTTCAAATCACACTGCCCAAGGTCTAGTTCAGAAAATCCTTTGTGTTGTCAGCAAATTAATTACTTTCAGGGTCTCAAAATTCAACAGTTAAGAAACTTAAAAAATGACTCCTGACAATGGAATTTAGTTTATAAGTTTCCGGAAATGTAACCGTTGGTTTCACCTCAAGATACGGTTTTTTTAGATGTTAGTATCTTATCTAAATGCTGTGTTTATATCAGACAAGGAATGTCTGTCTGATAAATTGCTTATAAAATACCTAAATCGAGGTAAAAGGTATCGCCAACTTACATAAAGTAAAACAATGCACATCATTATAGTCTGCAACTAACTGTAGGTATTCTGTTGTTTCAGACCAATTTGCCGGTGTTTAAAGTGAAGGAATCGAGTGTTCGAAGAAGATATAGCGATTTTGAGTGGCTGAGGAACGAGCTGGAGCGAGACAGTAAAATTGTAGTCCCCTCATTGCCAGGGAAAGCGTGGAAAAGGCAGCTGCCATTTAGGGGCGACGATGGAATATTTGAAGAAGGATTTATTGAAGATCGAAGGAAAGGATTAGAAGTTTTTATTAATAAGTAAGTAAAGTGTTGCAGATCTTTCAAGAAACGGCGTTTTTTTGAGGCAAGTCAATGATTGAGGGCATTTTTTTAGAATTGCTGGACATCCGCTTGCCCAAAACGAAAGATGCCTACACATGTTCTTGCAAGAGCCAGCCATCGACAAAAACTACGTCCCAGGCAAAATTCGCAATACATAATTTTTAGGATATTAAAATGTTGATTTCTACTCCAATTACATGTTGTGTGAATAGTTGTTATCTCCAATCCACAGTTATTTTACGCATTGTAATTCGGCACTTTATAATACAATATTCCGATATGAGTTAATTCCATTCTATAACGCGATGCAAACTGTACGTATATATGTTTTAAGTGATTGATATTGGATCTGTATAGTTTATTCCGAACAAAATTATTTTCCGATGTAAGAGTAAAATATTCAAAATATATTAGTATGCTTTAATACGGTTTGTATGTATAGTGTTATGATTTATGTTATACTGAAGCGAATTGTGTACTACTTACTCAAAAATAAATTTATATGCTCACGTTTGGTGCCTCATTTATATATGTTTTTTTACTATCAATTAGTGGTAGTTTTTGAAATATTTTTTCGCATCCGTCCAGTTGTCTGAGCGTGCCAATCAGCCATCCTCCCATATATTACCGGAAAAAGATGAGGTTAGGTAATGTCAAGTGTTATTGTGACAAATTTCCATTAGCGTACTTTAAAAACCCTCTTATTTGTTGAATTCAACTGTGTTTTGAGGAAAAAGATCGGTAAGTAGCTCCTAATTGTCAAATAGAAGTGTTAAGCTGATTCGATTCCACCAGAAATAGTGCTTGCCTCTGTGCTGGCGTTCCAATTTAGAGCTTGTTTAAGGAGCCCCAAACCTTTAATAGAAGGTGCTTGTGTGCCCAAACCTTGCAGGCGCAAATATCTTTGGTTTTGTAACAATTGTGCAAAATATGGTATATTCAGTTACTAGGCCGTAATACTTCGTTATGGCTAAAGCAAATCCCATAGGCCTCAATATAAAACACTTGTAAACGATTCTGGTGTCGTTAAAGGTTTGCTGAATTGCGGTTAGCGAATGGGGTTTTTAATTCGCTATCCAGTCGTGAAAAAACGGGAAATGTGGCCCAAATGGTTTTTGAGAGAGACCAAAAAGACGGCGTCGTGTTTGAGTTCGTTTAGTGCCGATTACCCAAGTTGGTCAAACCCCCGTAAAACTGAAATTTAGCGTCCTGTGTGAAAACTCCTTTAATTTCCCAAATGGTGTTTCACTTCTTATTCAAAGCCTATTGCCCAAGTTTGCTAAAAATGCTATAAGATCTCGCAGTGGTAACAAAAGAAGCGCTATGGTTCAAATGGTTTTTGGATATGACTGAATAGACGCAGTCTTGTTTGAACCGATTGCCAAAGTTTGCAAAAACCGCTTTGAAAGTTCCGTGTTAGTTAATAACCCATCAAAATTCGGCGAATTTTAAACGACACTGGCACTGGTTGAAGAGTTTGCCTCAGCTATTTCCCTTTTCTACCAGCATCCAAATACATATATCTCATTAAAACCCTCCACGTACTCTACATGGGCTTATCCAAACTCACCTTATACCAGAGCTGTAGCTTCCGGACAAAGAGGCTCAAATAGTAAGGAATTCTGGAAATATCGTATTTCTAGTAATGGGAGGCTGGAAGCTTGAAGTGGGCAAAATGGCCATGTATGTCACATTTCCGGTAATAATGTTCTACTACTTCAACCAACCCGCCCTCTTTGAGGAATGGGTGGTCAAGACCAAGAGGGAAATCTACCCGCCAGATAATCCAGAGAAGCGAAAGGCCCTTGAGGAGTCTTTCCGACTATCCAGGGAAAAGAATGCCGTATCTGCTGATGATCTAGTGTGACTTGCGTGATTGTTAAAGCACGTTTGATTTAGATTGTAATACAAATGTTTCTGTTTAAAATTAATCGAGTTTTATGTTTATTAACAACTCCCTCCGTCCCTCCATACAATGGGAAAATCCTACTGTCGTTTGCTCTTTTGCGTGTAAGCCACTAGGATGGAAACCGCAATGGGAATCGTGGCAGAAATCAGGACAATTCTTTGTCCATACTGCTCGGCGATTAATCCAGATACAGCAGGCACTAAAAACGAGGCCAAAGGCATCACATTTTCAAAGGCAGCCAGCACTTTGCCCCTGTCGTCGTCCCGAGTTTGAATCGTGATCATTTCCGGTAGTTTCACATCCAAAATGAACCGCGGAACGCATAGAACGACCATAAACACGAAGAACATCGAAGCGTTAGTGGAAATGCTCAATCCAACGAAGCTCACCATCAACATCAAGCATCCACTGATCACCAGTTGGAGGTCCGGGATGTTATCAAACACATTCTTCAGTTTCATCTTCAGTAGATTAATAGCGATGGATAGAAGACTGACCATCAGCAGAAAATACCCCATGTAGCGGCCCTGGATGTTGAATTCATTTAGCATAATCAAGCCAACGTTGGCTGTAAACACCGTAAGGCTCAAATCGTAGCCGGCCTTTATGATAAAAAGGTTTTTGTAGCGGGGCCACGATATGGATTTGATATCCACAGCGACTCGCTTCAGTTCCAAGGCTCCTTTTCTGAGCAGCGATTGGTCAGTTTGTTTTTTGCCTTTGGGCTTTTTTGCATCCGGTGTTAGGGCGTAGTATGTCAAAGCTGGAAAAAAGAACAGTTAGTCGGTCTGAATTAGGCTGTTTCAAGTAGATTAGTACGGAAATTTGATGGTTTGAGTTATCCTATACCTACGGGTTGAGGTGGATCGCGGGTAAATGTACATATACGGCAAACGCGAGTTTGGATTGTTCTGAAAATTTGGCTATCAAAAATCAAATATTTTCAGCAATACAGGAATATCATCATCTTTGCTATTTTAATCGCGACACTTTATATATAGTACTATTTTTTGTTTTCCATCAAAACCTAAGAGAAAATGAAATTTCTTGAAAATTCCTGAAAATCCGTGGAAGATCTTGCCCACTGATGATCTTGTGATCCTGAAAATCCGTGGATGCCTTTGATTTTGAAATCCGAATAAAGTATTTTTGTTCTACTGGAAGTTGCCGAATTTTCATAAATTTTGCGTTGCAGTATTTTCCACCCTGTAGAAACTATCTGCAACACAGCGTTTTTTCAAAATCACCTGCAGAGCGAAAAATTATTGAACCAGAAAAGGAATCAAACAAAAATCTAATCGTTCACAGCAATTCAATTAAAAGTTATCCAGTTCCAAAATTAGAGCAATGTATGGTAACTCACGTTTTCCGTATACCTACCTAAGTGCCATCAACCGTGAGCCACCCTGTATATTAAACCATTGCAGCCATAAATAATTATGCGGTGAAGAGCAGTTAGTATGTGCGAGGTCATTACTTTTAAAACACAGTGTTAAGTATACCTACTAACCATTTGGAGCCTCTATTAGACCTGGGTAACACTGTGTTGAGTTGCGCTATTGAGTTGTTGCCGGTTTCTGACTTTTAATGGTTTTTGGAGAAAAACGGGAGGAACTTATTTTCGTTTCTGTCCCGAATTCGACACTAAAAAAAGTTTTTGTAAAATTTTTACAAAGCTATAAATATATCTTGTAATTTTTCGCTTAAAAGACCTCCAGATCGTCAGTATTTTTAAGTGAAACGCTACAAAATAGCGCGTTTTTGAGTAGAATGTAAAGAAAAAAATCAGTCAAAACTGAAAAACTACATGTTTAAAAAAATCGTAACTTCTAAACAGGGGCAAGTGCGCACTTGAAGATTTTCCTTGCGGTAGTGAACGTTTGCATCCTAGAACCGAGAATTTTTCTTGAAAATTGCACTGAATGTTGATTTTTTGCTGCTGCTTAAGCACGAGTCTAAAAATAAAAGTTTCCAGCGAAAGACGCGATCTCCGTAAAAAAATCGTAACTTCTAAACGGGGGCAAGTGCGCACTTGAAGACTTTTCTTGCGGTAGTTAACGTTTGCATCCTAGAACTGAGAAATTTTCATTGAGGTCGCACTGAATGTAAATTTTTTGCTGCTGTTTAAGCACGCGCCTAAAAAATGTTGGTGTAGAGCAAAAGCGCGCTCTCCTTAAAAAAATGAGAGCAAAGGGCGGCGAATTTTCCAAATAATTTGTTTTGCATTTGCTCTGGTCGTTTTCGGTTTTGGAGAAAACGCCCATGGTTTTCTGGGAAAAACGGGAGGAACTTATTTTCGTTTCTGTCCCGAATTCGACGCTGAAAAAAGGTTTTGTAAAATTTTTACAAAGCTATATATTTATCTTGTAATTTTTCGCCTAAAATACCTCCAGATCGTCAGTATTTTTAAGTGAAACTCTACAAAATAGAGCGTTTTTGAGTAAAAAGTAAAGGAAAAAATCAGTCAAAACTGAAAAACCACATTTTTTAACAAACTCTACAGTCTTAGAGATATGGAGGTGACGCGATTTCCAAGTAATCTGTTATAAACTTCCGCTTATTCTGTTACTTTTTTGACAGAAAATTATTTGATTTTTGTTCCAATTTCGAAGCTGGGAAGAGATTTGAAAACTTTTTACAAAGCGGCGAGGAATTCGAAATTTATTTCATAATTTTTATATATTAATTAATAAAGATTGTCAGAGCATTTTTAAATGACACTTTAGAAAATTGAGCATTTAGAAGAAAGAGCAACTTGGCTGAAACTGGCAAAAGCCTGAAGTTTTGAAGAAATTTTAAAAATATTATTAATAAATGGCCCTTAAAATAATTCTAAAAACAAGTAAAAAAAGTCGACACCATTTTCCCAGCAACCGAACTGAGTTACTGCGCCGGTGCGTTGGGTTGGCGCACAAAGCCCTTTGCGTAGCACTGCGCCAACTCCTAAAAGTTCACCAGGCTTAGTTGGGAGTTATCCAGGCCTAGCCTCTATGGCTTGCTTGAGTAGTTTTTATATCTTCGAGGCATTTCTAGAAAAGCTTCCAACTGTTCTTCGATCATACTTCCATTCTATTGCATGGAATATTTGAGTCCCTTTCATGGATGGATAGCTACTGGTCCTTCCCAGGCGACTGACTCGCATTAGTTATCAGAAAAATATTTTTATTACAAAAAACGATAAAATACAGCACATTTCCAGTACAAATCATAAACATTAATGATTATTCAGTCTTGCCAATCGCTTTGTATGCGATCAAACTAGCTGCACTAATAGGAATGGCTGCTGAGCCAATGATAAACCTGAGGCCGAGCAGTTCTGCTAGCGCTCCAGTCAGAATAGGCGCTATAAACATGCTGATGGAATTCAAATTTTCAAATGCGCCAATCACTTTGCCTCTGTCCTCGGATGTGGTTCGAGTGGCGATCATTTCGGTCAGGGTGGTATCCATGGACGCTCTACAGAAGGACATGATTCCCATAAACAGCACGAACACGCTCAATGATCCGGACACGCCCATCGCGACATAAGAAACCAATAGAATGACTCCAACGCCTGTGATTCTGCTGTAGTCGCTCGTATTGGCCAGGGCGCTTTTGAGCCTTATTTTCAAAAGACCAGAGGCGATTCTACATAAGCTGCTAATGACGAACACGTAGCCGATAGTGCGGCCTTTCACTTGGAACTCGTTGATCAATGTGAGACCAACGCTGGTGAAGATGATGGCTATACTGAGGTCATAAAAGCCTTTGATGCAAAACAAACTCTGATAGCGAGACCATGAGATGGTTTTCATGTTAACGACAGCTGATCTCAGTTTGCTGACTGCTTTAGATGAAAATGAAACGTCAGCGAATTTGTCTTGAGTCTTTGTATCGTCCGATACTGTTTGGAATGCGATTGCTGAAAAGAAAAGTTGCGTTTCACATTTCCATTGGTGCAAATCCACCAATAGAAACATTAACTACCAACTGGTGATCGGTTTGCTCTTTTGATTGTTGTTAATCTTGTGTTGGACTCTGAAGTTGGAAACTTACCAGCAGAAATTCCAGTGACGGCCGCCATCATTAAAAAGGACATAGCGAACCCATTTTTCGCCTCACTCAAGAACCCACTGGAGACGGACCCCACCAAGAACCCAACGGAAATGAAAAAGCCATTTTTGCCGAAAAACGCCTTTTTTTCCTCGGACGTTCTATAAGTGTCTGCTACAATGGAGCGAAGAAGAATTCCCACCGGACTGCCCAAAGCTGAAACAGTCGCAAGTTTAACATTTCCGTTGCTTAATTGAGCGAATAAGCAACCTACAGCCGACTAGTTTGCCTACGAACACCAACCATACTGAGGTGGAGGCTGCCAGAATGACGCTCCCAACTGAGCTGGCTATCAAGCACTTGAGCAGCAGCCCCTTTCTTCCCACTTGGTCGCTCAAGCTGCCCTAAATAAAGCCGGGGGGTTTGAGATGAGGCTAGTTGGGGTATCTTGGTTTACCTACCACAATGGGGTTCCATAGTAAACTAACCAAAGCTCCACTGGAGTTGATGAGCCCCAAAGTAAATGGGGATCCCCCAACCGATCTGACAAAGGCGCTGAATACTGGTAGGGCGATTGCGATATTTAGAATGTCCTGGAACAGACTGGCATTGAGGAGGTTTTTCATGTTAAAAGTGAAAAGGTTTAGTAGCTCTAAAGGACTTTGGAGAAGCGTCAAAATCAAGTAAGAATATTTTGCTGCTCGGCCGCCGTTTGTTTAACGTTAATTCCACAGTGCCCAAAATCGCTGAATAAATCCTAACAAATTATTTATAAAGAAACCTCCAATTAAAATACGATGCTTTTAAGGGTCAATTCTTCAACCGCTTGAATAAACATTAATTATTGCTTAATCAGACCAGATTTTCGTCAGAAACTTCAACGGGGAAATAGAGCAAATTTGACTGTACGAATACGGTTGGAGAAATTGAGGCAGCCCTGAAAAACGATTTTTGGAGAGACCTCAAAATAAAGAATAAAAATGTTTAAACATTATTCATACAGATTTTACAGAGTTATACAACAGGTAAAAATATACTTGAAGAAAGTACCTGATGGTGGCCGGCGATTGCACCAATATAATTGCTAAAGTACCGATTATATATCTATATTGCGACTTAAACGTGTTGAATAGTTAAACTATCCGTTTTAAGTGCCAATCAATGAAAGCAACTTTCGATAAAAAAAAACAACCTTTCCGTTCAACTCTTCGTGTTTATATTTCATCCAAAATTTCAATTCGTTTTTGTTTTGATAATAGGGCAAATAACACAGTTTTTTTTGCTACACTTGAAATTGTCTTGAAATGTTTTCTAGGGGTATAAGTGGCGCTCTGAACTGGGAAACCATCAGTTCAACCAGAAGAATCGTTCTTTTTCTGTCTTCGGGAGTTTTTACATTTACTCACAAAAAAATCACTTACCAAAACGAAGAGCGCATATAACAAGTTCATGTTCAATCACTGTGCACCCAGGCGCTATCCAGATATGCAGGCACGAACTTACTGAATGATCACTCAACAGCAGACCTCAAAACTCCCGGAGCCTACTGAATATTCCTCCTCATTCTCGCTTATATCACCATATCTTATCATGCAGGTATTTGAAAGCCGATAACATCAGCATTACATGCAAATCTGAACTCAATCACTCTGAAATGCTTGAGATCGGCGCAATTTGTGGAAAATAGTTGACTTAGTTGTCTGGTTCATCCTTGACTGCTAATCGCAATCAACAATTCAAAAAGTTAACACTTCATACGGACATGGGACGACATTGGAATATTAATTTTAATTACCAGGGAACCGCAAAATTATGCGCGAACTTAATCGTTGTTAAGCTCGATATTTACGGTTTTAAAATTTTCAAATTGCGCTCAGCTCAAATTTCTGTTGTCTATAAATAATTATTTGAAAATTGCGCTAGCGGATGTTATCGCGATTCTTTTTTATCACTTTTTACAATAATAAATTCATAAACGCACTCAAAAGCATCGCAAATTGAAACTTAATCGGTCTATGTTGCGCTAAAATGCGTGCGCTTTAATTGCTTTTGTGCAAACTGAACTTGGACCGCCGATATTTACTTATTTGCTTTAAATGTTAGCTGACGGCTGTTTTTCAAGCAATTTATTGTTTTTTTTATTAGTGTTTTTGGTTCTGGAATTTTTTTAGTCTATAGACAAAATGCATTGGTGATGGTGAAACCCGTAAATTAAAGTATTTTTAATATATTTAATTTTCTATTTTTCAGACACTGTGTAAAATTTGTTTTTTACATAAATATATACACTAACAAAATAATAGTACCTAATGCCCTAATGGACTTGCCGTCCAATAACCCATCGCTTTTCTTCCCATGCTCCTAAAAAAGGACACAGCATTTTGGCAGCCTGACAGTGCCATTCTAACCTAGAACTGTGTGCAGAACCAAAACAAATAATATTGGGTGGTATTTTCTTATGAGTCACAAAATGAGTTGTAAACGAATAATCGACCAACCATTAACTGGCGTAACTCCTTAGTTTGTAAAGTGCACCTTGGTTGTTCTTCGGCTGAGAGATGGCGAAGAGTAAAATTTCCCTGATTCTGGACAGTATCGAGCCCCAGGAGCGTTTGAAAAAATTAATCACCTACAGTAATTTGATTGAAGTGGAGCCCCATGTGCCCCCCAAACGGTAATTCTTGCATTCATTGCTATATTCATTATCAGGATTAGTTTCTAGAAGAATATCTAAACACTTGCCAAAGCAAATGCACTTAAGTGCTTGAGTACTCTTCCAGATAAGGAATGCTCGTGCAACATTTCTAAATAAAAATTCCTTAATTAAGTGGCTAGAACTTCAGTAATTTCGATTTTTCATCGAACACCCGAATTTCTATTCAAACATTTTCCAAGCAAACCTGCGTCTAACTGAATGTATTCGTCCAGATACTACAGATCAGGCCTGGAAATGGTTCGCATGGCAAACGTCTACCATGCGGAAGGAAACCTGGAGAATGCCTACTGTTTGTACCTGAAGTTCATGACTTTGTTTCTGGAAAAGATTAGGAAACATCCGGAGTTTAGCAAAGTCCCAGCTGATATGCGTGCAGCCAATCAGGCAAAACTGCGGGAAGTGTTGCCCAAAGCCGAGAAACTCAAGCAACAGTTGCTCGAAATCTACAAAAGGGACTATGAGCTTTATCTGGGGAAACTGGTAAGACTTTGGGTGTCACAAACAGTGCAGACGCAACGTTTTATTTTGCTGGATTTGCTAAGTGTCCTTTAGGCAGATTTTATTGCACAACAAATGAATTTTGGGATACTCGTGCATATCAAAAACTTGTTGTGTGATTTTAACACTTTTGCAGAGATTTAATTTTTCGATTTCCTCATTGGCCATCAGACCATCTATACAACCAAAGTTGCTCTGTCTTTGCCTTAAAACTTTCGTCCAAAATTCGCTATGGTTAAGCAAAAGTTAATGTCGACTCGCGTATCACAAGCTTCTTCAAAAATCGTTCTTCTGGGTGTCTTCAACGCCTTTTATTGCGTTTGTAGGGTCAACTTTGCTCTATTTCCTCAATAAGGTTTGAGGCAAAAATCTTCTCTTTCTATGAAGAATCGAATGTTTGTTCCAGTGTATATCCAAAACCCATCCTTTAGATTTGAGGCCTTTTCAAAAATTCTAGTTGTCGATATCCTTGATGCGTTTCAGGTCATCTATAGAGCCAAGCTTGTTCTATTTCTCGTTGAATTTGCAATCTAAAATTTGGTCTGGTTAAGCAGATATTTTTGTTTGAACAAGCCGTCTTCCATGTAGCCAAATAAATCGTTGTGTCTGATCCGCCATCAAAAGTCTGTAAATTTGGACAGTTGCTTTGCAGATACGACTGGAGCAAGAAGGTGAAGAGAGAAGAAAGGCTGAACTAAAGAAAAAAGAGCCCTCCAAACGACAGCCAAGTGCTGCGCCTAGAGAGTTTGTAACCGCGGAAATTCCAGCAGCAATTGATAGTGTTAACTATCCAGACCCGAATTTGGACGCAACCCCTTCAGCCCCAGATCTGCCTCCATCCTATGAAAAGTATTCACGCAAATACGTCCTTTCCTTCGGCTTAATTGGCTTTGTTTCAGAGACTTTATTCCCCCAGTTCCCACATTTGATAGAGGCAAAAAGCCGTCGTCTGAGTCACTAACGAAGTACGACACTGATACTCTAAGGGCCGTTTTAGTGCCTGCGAAAGTAATGACTCTCTTCCAGAGTCTCGCGCAAAACAATACGGATAAAAACGTGGAAACTTGCGGCATTTTAGCCGGAAAGCTTGTAAGTATGCGACAAGAGTAATGGAGAAAATCTCATGGGATTTGTTAGGAAATGAATCAGCTGATCATCACCCACATGATAGTGCCCAAGCAAAGCGGCACTTCCGACTCATGTGCCACAACTAATGAAGAGGAGATTTTCGACTACCAAGACCACCATAATCTCATTACCATTGGATGGATTCATGTAGGTGTTTTTTATTTTCGGGGGGCTTTGGGTGAAAAGGCAGTTTTTTGCAGACTCACCCCACTCAGACAGCGTTTCTGTCCAGTGTCGATATGCACACTCATTGCCCTTACCAGCTACTCATGCCTGAAGCCATTGCTATTGTTTGTTCGCCAAAGTATCAAAGGTAAGTTTTTTTGCTTTGCTGCCATATTTTCAGCTTGTCCATTACATTGCTATTGAAGAGACAGATTCAAGTAGCGCGACTGTTTTTGCGTGAAGAATTTTTCCATTAGCAATAGAACCCCTCTTTTTGCCGCCTATTCCCCAAGTGCTTTTCCTCATTGCCTCGTTTTAACAATCTCCGCATATTGAAGCTCCGGATTCTTCATTCTCACCCCCAATTACGGGCTGCAATACATCGCAAACTGCAGGAAGGTCGGGTTTCATCCGCACCCTACAGATCCTCCCCTTTTCAAGGTAAGTTTTCCTCCCTACAGTTTCAACTGCCATAATTGTTCTATTTGCAGCATGCTGATCATGTACGGGTGGAAAATGCCCCACTAGACATTCTTGATTTGCGCAAATAACTTTCACTGTTTAACCGTGCTGGGATGGCATTTTTCCATGTGTTTAATCGCATTTGGGTTTTGCACTGCGTTAAATATATTAATGTGATTCTAGGGTAAATAAAGGCTTTTGTAAAGTTTTACACTTAAGTTTATTTACAGCCTAAACAGTTTGAACAACTTGCCTTAAAATTAACGTGGTTTTACCCTAAGTTTCTTTGGTGTGACTTCAAATCTGCAACGATTTTTTAAATTTACATTCGAAATATACATTTTCGAAGCTTTGAACTTACCGTGAAGTGTTTCATATCATTGGGTTCTGGAATTTCTTCGGCGCTTACCAGCAGTGTCCGGCTTCCGTATCTATTCCTGTAAACATTACGTTTTTTAGGGTTTTGAGCTTTTATCCGTGACCTTAAGACTTACTCCAGATACTTCCTCCATAAGAGTAGAGCGACGTAGCAAATAACCGCCAAAATCACCAGTATGGTCACCAAAAGAACCGCCAACGGTCCGTGTGAAAACTCGCTCACATTGTCTAAAATTTCAATGTTTGCAGCGCCAACAGATTCATTTTGCTTGTCAATCAATTACCGTCTCGGTGGCTCCTTAAGACATCTTCAGTTATTTCCCCATCTTCAATAAATTCGGCTTGATTTGCGATTTTGTCGGGAATATGCTGGGGAAATTCTGGCTCTAGTGGATGCTGATGTTCTTCCACTGCGTCTACAAAGACAAAATTCCATGGACTAATTTAGGATTTTTTCTGGCTTTGAAGCATTTACCTAGTTGCTCTTGAGTGCGGTTCAGTAGATCGGCCACTTCCGTATCAACACCCTTTTCACTATAGTCGTCTTGACCGTCTGAGCGAATGAAAAACTCATTCAATCAGCAACAGCATCAAAAAATCACTTACCAAATCTGACTGGGCCTGTTTCGGAAGAGTCGCTCCTCATCAAGCACTCAGGCCTTATGGGGGTGGATGGGTCTGAAAAGTTTGCCGGTAAAGTGCAGTTAGCGCGAATAGCTGCTAATCTTGATGGCGGCGGAAGATCAAAATTTCCCAATCTAGAGCTATTTTCGGGAATTGATACTGGTGTTTCTTCACTGTTCTTCGCCTGCTGAGTTTCACCCACATCTTCCAAGATTCTCTGGTCTATGTGATGGCCTTCTAAAACATAAAACAGCATAAATGTCTTCAAGCATCGATGTAAATCAGCAATTCAAAACAGCAACGCTGGTAATGATAGAGAAAAAATTGCGCGGCATTTTTTAATGATAGTTATTAGGATTTAACCAATTTTTTTATGGAAAATTACTGATTATTAGCGCCGTTTTCTTAAAAGCATAGTTGAGGAATTCATTGGCAAAAACACCTCTAAAAAGTAACTTTTAGACAGATTTATCCAGCCCTGGAAAAGTGATCCTCTGATTAATTTCCTTATCAATTCAGCGCAAACATTACACGAATGACATGGTTGCAAAACATTAATGCATGTTGCGCTTCTAGTGTCTTTGTTGGATTAAAATCCCCTAGACCAAAAGTGGGTAACTTACCTTCACATTTGGCCACCAAAACCGCATAAATTACACAGAAAACTACACTGAAAAACTGCATTTTGCGCATTTTACCTTGCTTGTTGGTTCAAGTATTCGGTACATATGATGGAAAAGCAACTGGTACGTATCACAAATAGGTAAGTCGCTATAAAATGATAAAATGTATTTATTGTGCGATTAAAAGCTAAGATAATGGCTGGCGTGTTAGACTTGCCATCGTATTCAGTATTCATTAGCCAACTGAGAGCAGTTGCCTGATGAATATCGACTTCTCAGGCATTTATTTCATTGACTGGTTTTTTTACTTTCAAGTTCACGTTTCAGTCGTCATAGTGGATTGGGTAGTAAATTGGTTACTCATATGATTCGTCGATTTGATGATGCATAGTTGATGCGGGATTTTTTTTCAAAACGCGCGCGTTACTGTTTTGTAAATTAATTATACGATATTTCACTAACAATAAAACGTTTGCTGAACGCCTGATCAAGCTTGCTTTTCAATTTCTAAAGCGGTTGCTCAGAAATGAACTTCAGTAGAGCATGGGGCGAAACTGAAGATCCGGCCATCAACATTCCAAAGTTGACAAATTAATTCTGAATGAAGCACTTTCTCGAGTGGAACCAAATGTAGACCGCAATTAAACTGGATGCTCAGAAATCCTCTTTTGAAGAGATTGATACCAAATGGAAAAACGGCGCACAAACTTGTCAAAGCTGAAGAGTTAATTATGCAGGATCCGCCTGCTTCGATGGAATCAAACATTAAACACAAGCCCACTAATGATTGATGATCGACCACTGAAACCCGCTTTCTGGTATTTACAGTGGCTGATCAGAAATGAGCTACTTTAAAGAATAATGCAAAAATGAAAAATTGCCAATATATTTTTCAAAGTATAATTGAAAACCCGAAAGACCGCTCCTAGTTTTCCCAAACTTTATGAATGAGCCACTCGCTCAAACTGAACCAAATTCGCAGCACGGACGAACAGAATCCTCTTTATCGACTCTGGTAACTGCTATTCCGATACCTGATTTGCTTACGCAGAAATATACTTTTGAATAGCATGGCGCCAGAAGAGAAAACCGCGTAAAACATTCAAAAGTTTCAGAAAAATCTATGAAGTAACTACTTACTGGAATGGAGCCAAACCCAGAAGGATAAAAAAAATATATTTCTTTGTCGTTAATCAAATGCGTTTTCGTATACCCAGACTGGTTGCTACTGGAGCATAGTGCAAAAAGGAAAAACCGTGCAGAAGCTTTTCAAAATTTAAGAATTAATTATAAAGAAACCACTTGCGCAAATAGAACCATATTTGCACCACTAGTGAAGAGAAGCTTCCTTTATCAGTTCGGGAAAACGCTCTTCTTACATCTGATCTGCTTGCTAAGAAATGAGCATCTGAAAGCCATGGTGCAGAACAGTAAGTCAGCGCAAAAGTTTTCGAAAATTAAGAAATAATTCTGAAGAAATTGTTGCAAAATCGAAAGCGGTTGCTCAGAAATGGACTTGAGAAGAGCATGGGGCAAAACTGAAAATCCGCCCATCAACTTTCCAAAGTTGGCAAATTAATTCTGAATGAACCACTTTCTCGAGTGGAATCAAATGTAGAGCGCTAATAAACTGAAGATTCCTTTATCGATTGCTCTAAACCGGATTCCGATATCTGAAGTGGTTGCTCAGAAATGCTCTTGAATAGATTGGTGCGAAATGGAAAAACGGCACACAAACTCCTCAAAGCTGAAGAGCTAATTAGGCAGGATCCGCCTGCTCCAATGGAATCAAATTGAACACAAGCACACTAATGATTGATGATCCACCATGTATTAGAAATGAGCTTCAGAAAGGTGAAGTGCAAAAAGGTGAATCCGCCAAATAACTTGAAATTGTGCACAATAATGGATCGAAATTTAACTTGCTAGGAAAATAAATCTTCCTTTATCGACAGCTCAAAGCGAATGTCTGATACCTAAATCGGTTGCTCATAAATGAGCTTTACAAAAGCATGGCGCCAAAAAAACGGCAAATAAACTTTCAGAGTGACTTATAAATGAACCACATTAGCTGAAATGGTGTCAGATCCTTACAGCTTTTACCAGCAAAATAAAGCTCTCATCGATTTCTGAGGCTATCATCTCCATTTCTGAGTGGGTTGCTTGATAAAGAGCGTAACGCAAAAAGCAAAAAATTGCTTAGTTTAAGACTAAATTATGAAGGAAGCAGGAATTCAACCAAATTTACGTGCCGTAGAAAATGGGTCTCTTGATCGACAACGCGAATTTATTTTCTGATACTCGCAGTGATTTCTCAGAAATGCTCTTCTGAAGAGCATGACGTACAAATAAAAAATCGCGCATAAAGTTTCCAAAGTCAAAGAATGATTTATGAAAAAACCACTTACTCGAGTCGAACCAAATTTACACCATGAGTGAATGAAAACTTTCTTAACCGACTGCAGAAACCCGAAGTGTATAATTTAAACCGTTGAACAAAGTTATAACGGTTTTTTTTGACAACGATGCCAATTAAGTCTTGTCAAAATGCGACAGGTGATGTCAGTGTCAACCGAAGTGGTCTGAGGATGAGTTTCCCAACCCTCAAACTCTCCTCTTTTGGTTCACACTACGCCCTAGTTTATATACAGGGTGTCGTCGTTTGTATTCTACTCCTTTAATCAACTCTGCACCCAGTAAGAATTTGAATTTAAAAATGGTAAAAATTACCCGTATGTGTTTATGAACCAAGCACGCCACTGCTTGTTAGATGATTAGCAAATATTACTTAATCAAGCAATTCATTGAAACTGAGTAAATTAGCGACATGAAATTAATCTTTGCCAGATTTATTTTATTTTCGAAATATCTCGCCAGCAATCGCATCGCTTTGGTGGAGCACAAGTGCGGTTTGTCTTAACCCGAGTGATCAGCTGTTTAATATTAGTGCTTCGTGCGGTTTGGGCCGACCTTACTGCCACTTCCGAGCATCGCATTTCTACATACAAGCACGCAACTATTTTTAGTTTGGGTTAGTTTGGGTTAACTGAAAAACCAGTTGTATTTGTACCAATTTGTACTAATCGTCGTGTAACTTTAGTTAAATAACAAAATCTAAAATGCAGCTTATTGCGCATTTAGTGAAAGTGTCCGTTCCTGATTATCTGGCAAATCTACCCATTCCCGACAGTATTGGAGGCTGGTTCCGGCTTGGATGTAAGTATGAGTGCAAAAAGTCGTTATTTTTAGTGAGTACAATGCTTGTGATGTCAAAACCCCTTTATATCCAGACTTTTGCAAGCATAACCTCAAAATAATTAGGTGGCCCCCTATTATAATACTCGGTTTTTGTGGTTGCCCCGTTGTGGCTTTTAACAATTTCATGATAACGAAGATAAATTTGCATTGATACACGTTTTTTTGGGAAACTGAAGAAAGCAAAGTTCACTGCGCTGTTGCCCAGTGTCGCAAAGTATTCAAGAGCTTCAGGAAACCGATTTCTATATGAATAAACTCCCAAAAAAAACTAAACACAATCAGTCCAAGTGCAATGATGGGAGAGCAGTTGGTGTCCATTACGTTATATGAATGGTTTTTTATTTAAATAAGTAGGTTTGCTCACAATCCGGCAGCATTGGATGTTCTATCTAAATACGACACCTGCTAATGACCCTTAAAATGTGTTTTTAAAAGTAGTTAACAGTGGCGGAGCGAGCGCCAAATTTTCGGATTCATAAATTGCTTTTTTTTCTTAATTTTAAAACCATCGCTAACAGGTTAGTTTGTTTTCTTTTCAACTCGCAGAATTTTTATACGCTTGTCTTTTTCTAAGGCCTTTGAAGTTAATTGTACAATCTTGTTTTCAATGTGGATTGCTCCACGCAAATATTTGGCTCGGTCTAGCCAAGGTAAATGCAATTTGAAAATGCGATGTTTGCTCAGCAGCTAATCCCAATATTTGCTGGTTTATTTGCAGTCACAAGTTTGAAATTCTGAATTTTTTCTGTGGAAATTGGCGCAGTTTGCAGGACGAAATAAAGCGGCAAACGTGTGTTTTAATTTTAATCACTCCTAAAAGAATCTGCAAAAATTGTTTAAAACTGGGAAATTTTCAACAATTTAAACTTGTTTAGACAGATTAAATCGCCTTAATGCAAACAGTCTCTATCTATTTCCAAATATGACTGAGAAATTTTTGGGTAAAATGCGTCACAACTTGTTTATATTACAAAAACTCGGAGGAGCATTGTCCCTATTTATTAGATTTAATCCGAAACGTTAGCAACCCGCCTCGTCCTATAAAAAATACAAATAAGTCTTCGGACGCACAATGATATACACATAACAGAGTCTTTCACACCACGTCCAACTTTTAACTCTTAAGCATGCCCAAGCTCATTGTTACACTTGTCCAAAACGTGTCAAGCTTGTCAAGGAGGTGTCACCCCTGTCAAGAAACTGTCATACTTGTCAAATTATCACGAAACCGTTTTTCAATAACTCTAATTGTACAGTTAAGGATTGGCTGTCTTTGGTGCCTCCTACGGCTCTAGCAGCCGGCGTCGGTTACACCATTTACTTGGCTTATTGCCCCAAAGCCAGGAAATGCGGCTCAGGACGTTGCAACAACGCCATCCAGCTCACCAATCCCAAAGTAGTGGATACTATCGATGTGGAAGACATCACTGATAAAGCGGTGTTTTGCCGATGTTGGAAAAGCAAAAATGTAAGCACGAAACTGAATAGAGAAAAATTGGGGATTTTTTTTAAATTTTCGTCTTCCTGTTGCAGTGGCCGTATTGTGATGGATCTCATGCAGCTCACAACAAGGAAACCGGCGACAATTTGGGCCCAGTGATTGTTAAGAAACCCCAGTAGATTATTTTTTTAAATTGATTTAATTATTTTTTGTTGTTTTTATCTGCCAAATTTGTGCCACGCCCTACCCAAGCTGGCATTTAGTAGTGGCTTCTGTGCGTACGTTTATTAAGTATTTGAGTATTTGAAAGCGAAGAGTGTTTGATTTTCCATTAAAGCAGGCCTTAGAGGACGCCAATTATGTACTGTGTTTCAATTAAAGTCGGTTTTTGCTATTTTTTTAATTCGCTGAATCCAACTGCAAAGGATTTGAACATGATACATACAGGATGTCGCAATAGGGATGGTAAGTGGCTGTATCTCGGAAAGTATGTGTTGCAGTGATCGGAAAAAAAATTGATAACAAACTTGAGGAAAAGAATTTGCTGGAAATTATTTTGAAATTTCTCAGATGACCACTAGATGGCGTAATTGCATTGGTATTTTAAAAAGTCAATTTTCTACAGAAATTGTCCCTATAAGTGAAACATCTAGTAAGTTTAGCCAAAAGATCATATAAAACCGTATTACTTTCCTTACGAACTTTTTCCCTAACTTGTCAAAAAAAGGGTGGGGGGAGTGTCAAACCGCTTAATTTAAAGAAACCTGTAATTCCGAAACGGTGTTTTTTGTTTTTTGACTGATTTCAAAGTTTTTGCTATCAATTGAAAGAGCAAGCGAGCTTAATCATTTTCGAAAAAATTTATTTGTTTTAATTTTTCACAAAAATTTCAAATACTACCATTAGGTTATTTTACACGCATTCGAAAGCACAAGAAAATGTTGACTAAACCGCAAAAACCACATCTTAAAATAATGTCTGAACTCGAGTTAATACTAGAAAATAATAAAGGTTGCCTAATTCAAATAATTCAAGTAGGAATTATCCCTATAAGTGAGGCATCTAGTAAGTTTGAAAATAGTGGGAAAAAAACCACATTTTTTCTTCCAAAGCCTACTTTAGTTATTCGAATTAGGCAACCTTTATTACTTTCAAGTATTAAATCGATTCCAGACATTATTTTAAGATGCGGTTTTTGCGGTTTAGTTAATTTTTTCCTGTGCTTTCGAATGCGTGTAAAATAACTTGACGGTAGTATTTAAATTTTTGTGAAAAATGAAAACAAAGAAATTTTTCGAACAGCGGATTTTCCGAAAATGATTAAGATTACTTGCTCTTTCAATTGATAGTAAAAACTTTGAAATCGGTCAAGCCGTTTCGGAGTTACAGGTTTCTTTGCATTAAGCGGTTTGACTCTCCTCCACGCTTTATTTGACAAGTTAGGAAAAAAGTTCATAAGGAAAGTAGTACGAATTTTTATGATCTTCTGACCAAACTTACTAGATGTTTCACTTATAGGGACAATTTCTGTATAAAATCGACTTTTTAAAATACCGATTGCAATTACGCCATCTAGTGGTCATCTGAGAAATGTCAAAATAATTTCCAGCAAATTATTTTCTTCAAGTTTGTTATCAATTTGATTTGATGCCGATCACTCGACAGCACATACTTTCCAAGATACAGCCGCTTACCATCCTTATTGCGACACCCTGTATAAAGCAAAATGTCGCTTTTGTGAATTCCTAGCGTGGTTTTGTATACAGTCAATGGTCATAGGCCCAAGCTAATTGGTAGTGACGTCATTATTTGAAACGCTATCATATAGGTAAACAATTAATTGGGAAAGTAAATCACCTTCAGTTTCATTATTAATTTTCCTCAGTTCTGGACGTTAACTGTGAGCAAGTGTGTTTTTTTCAAAATTCACAGAAACTGCCAACACTGGCCAAAAATCAATACAATAATTTTAATATTCTTCCATACTTCAGCGAAACCCAATTTTTTTCCTATTTGAAACTGCTTGATTAAAAAAATTCTTTGATGTAAAACAACCAAAAACCACAATTTTGATACGCCTCCTACGACAACTTCATCGAAAAAGAACATTTATTACGTCACTGCCAAAAAGCCTGTGACAAATGTCCACAGTGTGGATTTTCGAGTCAGTGCACCACTGGGGCTGCACGAGCCGCCACTGCTTCTAAAGGGTGTATCTTGACTTCACTCTTGTCAAACAGCATTAGCCGCCAGGTAGTGAAAGGCGCACGTTACGACGTGACTGCGCCTTTTCGGTGTCGCGTTCCCATGCAGCAGCGCCAAGACGTACGACGGGTCGCACCGCAAAGTTTCGCTTGCGCGATTAAACGAATACAGGTTCCGGTCTCATCGTCTATCTTGTGGTGCCCCCTCGCGTCCAAGGTTCAGCTTCTTTTAGTTATGGACGAGGTTATGTAGAGAGTGCGAGTGCAGAAAGTGTAAAAATACCAAAATCAATGGTATCCGACAATGGCTGAAGAGTTATTAGTGGTGTTGAATCGGAGTGAAAATTCGAGTTTGGGGTTCTCGTTGTTGCAGAAACCGGGGCTGCCGCCCATCATATACAATATTCTGGACGACTCCCCGGCAGCCGAAAGTGGCGAGGTAAGAAACCCGATTTTTTTTATTTTGATCAAAAAATCACGTCGTGATTTGTCTGGCTGCTTTAACAGCTGGATAAACAAGCACTTGTTTCCTGGATCAAGTGAATCTCTGCAAAACAGTTGGTTCTGGCCAAGCCTTGCAGGCTGATGGGAAACTGGCACAGGAAAACATTGTCGTTGCGGCGTAAACAATCGCCGATCTGCACATATTGTACTTTGACTCGAATTAATAAATTTAAGTGTCTCGCTTGATTTTATCGACCTTGCTAATATTTATTCCCAAATTGATTGAATAAGTCGCCCCAAACGGGCTCTTTGGTGGCAAAAACAGTCGAACTGACATTGGAATGCCGTTTTAATGTTAAGTAATTTCATTTACACCACTTTCTTGGTCAACCAGTATTATAACGGGCGCCGGTTGTTGAAATGGATTAGCAGCAGGCCTTGTTGCATATCGGGCACCTACATAACTGACTCATTTCAATGCACATTGAACGAGGAATGGCTAAATAGAGACTATCTAGTAAACGTCTAGGTGTTCTAGATAAGGAACTGGCATTGGCATGGCCACTTATCTGCACTTCCTCTAAGCCTAAGCTACGTAAATTGTGTTTCTTGAACACCGATTGATGTTTATTGACTTCATAAATGTCAACTTTTAATCTCTCAATGTCACGAATTGGTAGATCTTTCGATCATGTGTCAGGTTCCCTTACATTGGAGGTTTTACGGGGTCCACCTAACCGATTTATTCAGGTATTTAGCGAAAACTACCTACTCCTGTTCAGATCCAAGTCTTTTTGAGATTTTTCAATAAATATTGTCATTATTTTGTCTAATATTTCATCCGAAAACGAGAGTGTCATGAGTGTGACTTGCCTAGCGAGGATCCAAATTTCAGGGCTTGGAATTGTTTCAGATTATCAAACAAGTTTCCTTTGATCTCTACATGGTAGCACTATAGTTTTCTTTTAAAGTTGAGTGTTCTTTGTAGTTTTGTAGTTAATTTGGCAGCTGACTGTTCAAAAAGTCATTGGATTTGACAATCAATGCGAAATTTGACATTCTTTGATAAAGCTGTCGTTTGCTTGTTGTGTATACTAAGCCAAATATCGAAATTAATCTGCGAAGGAGCCAACACAACCGCAAATAAAACCAAACGAATCTAAACAGATCCAAATAAACCGCAATGATGCAAATAAAGTTAAACAAACTCACGTCAGCGCACAATGATCAAAAGTTGAAGCAAATTTGACAATTTTTGGTCCTCCAGTGCAAGATTTTCGGTGTCGAATGGTGCCGTTGCACACCCTCCATCTATTTTCAATGTTGGTTGGCAATTTTTTAATAAAACGTGTCACCAGCCGATTTTTGCCAGACAATTTTCAGTGGTAGGTTTGAAAATTCGCCGAAAAATTGTGCAGGTTTGAACATTTTCATACAGAGCAAGATCTTATTTATCAAATAGCGTTATTAACAATTTTATATTAATTTTCAACGATGGCTGAGAATTTTCTGAATAAATCGCGTCACAGGCGGTTTTATGGAAGACAATAATCAGATATGGGTTTAGAAATTCGTTTTCGAAAAATTGGGCGAGTTGGAAAATGTTTGTACTTAGAGAGCAAGACCTACTCTATTAAATGGTGTTCTTGCCAACTTTCTATCTATTCTCAAATTTGTCTGGGAATTTTTTTGAGAAATTAGAGTCACACGCTAGTTTTTGAAAGTCAAAATTCAGTTCTGGGTTTGAAAAATCAGCTAAAAATTGCGAAAAGTGCCACAAGTTTGAAAATGATCACACTTTTGAAGCAAGATCTTCGCTATCAAATGGTGTTATTGTCAACTTTGAATTTTTTTCCAATGTTGACAATTTTTTAAATACATCGTGGTACATGCGGTTTTATGGACAAGAATACTCAACTCTGGGTGCGAATAATTGGCAAAAAATTTGCCAAAAATCGAGCAAGTTTGAAAATCGACTCACATGCAGACCAAGATCTTCTTTATGAAATGGCATTATTACCAACTTTCTATCTATTCTAAAAATTGAAATTTTTTTGTAAAAGCAAAATTCAGTTCTGGGTTTGGAAATTATCTAATTTTTTGACCAAGACCATCTTCTCTATCAAATGGCGATATTCTCAACTTTTGAATAAATCGTGTTATAAGCGGTTTGATGGACAAAAAAATAAATTCTGGTTTTGAAAATTCGCCGAAAAGTTGAGAAAAATTAAGGACATTTGAATATTATCTTACTTGCAGGGCAATATAGTCTCTATTAATTGTCATTTTTAAAAAAAATTTCAATATTGGCTCGCAATTTTGGAAATAATTCGTGTCACAACCGCTTATATGGGCTTGGTGAAGAATGAAGGCTTGAACGAAGATTGTCTTGCTTGTATAGCCAAATGTTCTCTATCAAATGACGTCATTTTTTTAAATTTTTGTCAATGTTGGCTGGCAATTTTTTGAATAAATCGTGTCGCACGCTGGTTTTTGAAAGACAAAATTCAGCTCTGGGTATGAAAATTGTGCTAAAAATAGCGAAAGGTGGAAAAAGTTGGAAAATTGTCTTGCTTCTTGAGCAAAATCTTCCCTATCAAATGGCGTTACTGTCAACTTTTTCGCTGGTTTCAATGTTGCTGACAATTTTGTGAATAAATCGTGTAACAGTCGGTTTTGTAAAGGCAATAGTCTGATATCGCTTTAGAAATTCGCCAAAAAATTGCAAAAAATGAAACAAGTTTGAAAGGTTTTTATAATCACAGAGTAAGATCTGGTCTATCAAATGGCGTTATTGCCAACTTTGTATCTATTTTCAACCTTGGTTGACAATATTTTCAATAATCTGTATCACAAGCCGTTTTATGGCAGACCAATACTCAGTTGTGTGTTTAAAAATTCACCAAAAAATTGCGAAAAATGGGGCAAGTATAAAATGTTAATGATTTCAGAGCAAAATCGACTCTGAAACATTTTTTTCCTGCCAAGTTTCTATTTTCTTCCCATCTGGGTTGGCAATTTTTTGCAGAAATCGTGTCATAAGCGGTTCTATGGACGCCATTAGTCAGTTTTGGGTTTGAAGATTCAACCAAAAATTGTAAACAATGTTTCAAGTTTGAAACCTTTTATGCTTACAGATTAAGATCCACTCTATCAAATGGCGTTATTGCCAAGTTTATATCTTTTTTCAATGTTCAAAGTTGACTAGGAATTTTTTGTAAAAATCGTATCAGAAGCGGTTTTATGGAATACGACGATTACAGTTCTGGGTTTGGAAATTTGCTCAAAAATAGGGAAAAATGACTCAGGTTTGAAAATTATCATACTTTTAGAGCGATGTCTTCTCTATCAAAATGCATTATTGCAAATTTTCAATGGGATTTCTAAGCGGTTCTGTTGAGGACAATAGTCAGTTCTGAGTTCAAAAATCATCAAAAAATACAGGAAAATGAGACAAGTTTGAAAACTTCTCACTGAAAAATACTTATAGAGCAAGAGCCTCTCTATCAAATGGCGTAATGGCGAACTCCCTAACTATTGTCAGTGTTGGTGGCAATTTTTTAAATAAATCTTGTTACAAGCCGTTTTATGAAGGACGATTCTCAGTATTAACAAATTAACTAAAAAGTGGTAAATAATCAAACATTTTCCCGATCATTTTCAATTACATAAAGTGTGCTTTTGTCATTGCGAAGCGATGGATTGAAACGTTTTATATTTGCGCTCAAACTACCGCGGCTTTTGCAAAAGTTTGCGTTGCAGCTAATCTAACACATCAATGGCTCGTTTGGTAACAACGTTTTCTTATGCGGATTATCCTGTGGAACAACATCTCAACTTTCTTTTCAAACATTTTCCTTTCAAACCTCCGTAATTTACGGCAATCCCGGAATCTGCAGCACAATATAACTTTCATCGGCTGCTGCGAATATTCATGTATTCTGTCAGATTTGCGTCTATTCTATTTGAGGATAAATCACCAAACGGCAGCCTTAAGATGCGGTTTAAGCCATCAGCAGTTTTCACAAGTTTCTTGAATAATGTTTTTGCGGTGAAATGTCCAAAAAGAATTATGAATCAATTACCAGTAGAAATTATCACGAACAGTTGCCTGCACAAGACCTTGTTTCATACCTACATCGATAGGAAATTTGCATGAAAATTTGGCTGTATATATTAAGTGCAAGGAATCCAAGCATTATTCAATTCCCACGCTTTTTTTCCATCCTCTTTATCTGGGTTCTTTTCCATCTAATAAAGCTAGTCGAGCGTCTGGACAAATTCACCATTCAAAGCCCTACATAATTAAGGACACTCCTGCATTTTTGTCTTTAAAAGTTCGGTAAACTAACCGAAAACATTGCGCCAGACTGTGGCTTTTAAAAGCCACAGAAAGGCTTTTCTGTAAATTAGATGGGGCGTTTGGAGCAGCCCAGTCAGAAGCAGACATAGTACAGTTTGAATGCCAAAAATTCATTCTAGCGTGCAACTTGTCTAGGCCTGGCTGAAATTAGTTGAATGGGAACATTTATCAGGATGTCATGTTCCACTTTGCACAAAAGGTTAGAATTTTGTTCGCGGATGTAAAGAATCCTAAAATTGCTCTTAATTTTAATGGAAGCCGACGTTAAAAGTACGTCTAACCGAACGTAACCCAAACATTGTCTATCTTTCCAAATCTGTAATTAGTTGGTCAAAATATCCGGGGTTTTAATTAAAATGCAGCAATTGTTTTTTGAAATTTTCACTTTAAAAAAATTAGTCACCGAAAAACCAGTTTGATTTCAGCACGTGTTTGCAGATACATCCTTTTTCTAAAGTCCTGAAATAATTGGAATTTGAAATAATTGGCATTTCAAGTTTATGTCTCGGATTATCTTATTTAGATTCAATAAAACGGGCAACCGTTTTTTTCAAAGATTAAATCCAATTGAATCAACCAAGCTGGCGCCGTGAATTTTGCACGATTTTGTGGCCAAAGAGTTGCTTTGGCTG